AATTTTCAGCAATATTTTTGTAGATTTAGGCTGTTTATATTTAAAAATCAAGTGTTTTTTTAGTTGTCTTTAATTAGTGTGGGAGTTGTCAATCATGCTTTGTGAAACCACCACAAGAGGCTAGCCTGGTCATTTGGTCTGTGGGGAATTTGGCTCTTCTTACAAGGACTTCTTTCTTGCCTTCAGGAGCCAAAGTCCGATAAGGATGACGAGTTCTGTCGTAAGGTGAACGAGTACCTGAACAACCCTCCCATCCCCGGAGCCGGAGGGAGCGGGGGGGGGCAGCGGACATGAACTCTCTGCACTGGGAGGAGAGGGAGGCCTGCAAAACCTGCTGGGAAATATGAGCCACAACCAGCTGATGCAGCTGATCGGACCGACTGGACTGGGAGGACTGGGTGAGCAGCTCGCAATATTTCTCTGACATGTGCTCAACACGCAGAAACTTGTATCTGTCGAGAGACGGGAAGTCACGTCAGAAAATAGCCATAACAATGCTTTACAATGCTTTAAAATGCTTTAAAACTAGTTTGAGTAGTGCAGTTCAACAAATGTCATTCCTTGTACTTCCTTTGTCAATTTTTTTTAATCATCATGAAGTAAAGCTCACAGCTGCTATATGTGTTTTAAATATGAATCCAACATAAATTTGGGCCCTTTTTTGATTTGTTTTATTGTTGTCTAAGGAGGTCTGGGAGCTCTAGCAGGACCAGGACTCGCTAACCTGCTGGGCAGTGCAGGGCCGACCACCACCAGCAGCTCCTCCTCCAGGTGAGAGAGAACACACATGTAGACCATATTACATTTAAAAAGTACTGCTGAACTCACCTGCTCCTCCCCCCCCCCCCCCCCCACCACCACAGCTCTCGCAGCCAGTCAGCGGCCGTCACTCCTTCCTCAGGCGGGGCCTCCAGGCTGAGCTCCACTCAGGCCCCCACCACCCCCGTGACCCCTGCTGCCTCAGCCGCCTCCCCTACTACTGTTGCTCCCTCCACACCAGGTACACCTTTAGCACAGTGACCTACTACTACTCTTTATCAGTTACACCAAATAAATCACCTTGAGGTTAGGAGGCATGTGGCGCAGTGGGTTGTGCGTTGGTGTTCGGATCAGGGGGTCACAGGTTCAAACCCCACTGCAGTCAGCATGGCGTTGTGTCCCTGGGCAAGACACTTCACCCCAAATTGCTCCTGTGGGGGTTGTCCTCAGTATTGAGTATGTAAGTCGCTTTGGATAAAAGCGTCTAACAAGTAACATGTAATGTAATGTACTGTAATGAGGTCTTTGTTAAGCTTCAGCAGAAAGCAGTCACAGCCCCATCGGAAAAGTTCAGAGTGTTTCAACTTGAAACACTTCAATAGCCACAAAAATGTCTCCTCATTGGGAACAATTACAAAATAATAACTGAGTAGCTATCCAATTGCTGATAGTAATCTTGTGTGTCCCCAACATATACCCAACCCGAAAAAGAGTGTCAAGAGCTACATTTTCAACAACCTATTTGACCCTTTTGCTTTGTGTTATCTGAACAACTCTTCCCCCTCTCCCTCAGCCTCAGCTCAGACCCCGCTGGCCCCCGCCTCCGTTGGGAGCCCTGGCTCTCACCAGCCCATCCAGCTCAGTGACCTTCAGAGCATCCTCGCCACCATGAACGTCCCAGCAACCTCAGCTGCTCAGGGAGCCGCAGGTGAGTGACAGAATACTGAATGTAGGATTCAGATTTAAGAGTGCTTAGTAATAACAAAAGCCTCAGCCTCAGCTAAATGAGGGAGGTCGAAAGTCGAAGAGGGGAAATATAGTCAAAGTTGAGAGGTTATCCCTGAGTCTTTGATTGGTTAAACTGACTCCTCTCCTGTGCTGCAGTGGACCTAGCGAGCGTTTGCACCCCGGAGATGATGGCTCCCATCCTGACCAACGCAGAGGTCCAGAAGAGGCTCCTCCCCTTCCTGCCCAGCGGGGAGAGTCTACCACAGAGCGCCGAGGAGATCGAGAACACCATCAGCTCACCTCAGTTTCAACAGGTAACGCATACACAACATGTTGATCGTCTGCTGAAATGAAAACACCTTTACGGCACATGCCTTGTAGCCCCACATAAGCTAATAAAATGTGATTATAAGCTCCTGATTGTGGCTAATTATGTCTTGGAAGAGCTAAGGGAGATTTCATTTGCTAACTGTAATTGTTAAAGGGTAAAACAGTTCATTTAATGAGACGAGAGGTATGTTTTATTGCTGTAATCTACCACACTAACTGGTTCCTCCCTCCCTCAGTCCATGAGCATGTTCAGCAGCGCTCTGGCCTCAGGTCAGCTCGGCCCGCTCATGAATCAGTTCGGTCTGCCGGCTGAGGCTGTGGAAGCCGCCAACAAAGGAGGTAAGTGTGGAGAAAAGGATAAATGGACAAAGTTTGTCTTTTTGTTATATTTAATAAAGAAAGTCAATATACAAGTGAAATCTATCCCAAATGTTGGAACGGAGCTACTTCACCCTCAGAGGATGGAGAAGTTCACAGCTCACAGTCCCACTCTATAGTAGAGAGAATAGCCAACTGGTCCCACCCTTACATTCCCTTAGCATCATCTTAACATCCCCACCATTAAACCCCCTCGTCCTTAACTATTTGCATATCCCCCTTTTATACTTTAGCCCTCCAGAGATGTAAATCCTTAACATATGTCTCCGTTAAACACATACAAGACTACAAATACCCTTTAACCCTTTGATGCCTGAGTGACTGGACCCTACACTCTTCCATAAGTGGGTTAAAAAGGACCCGTATTAGAATATGTGTTTTTATGCCATTTTTGTCATTTTGGTTAAGAAAAATCACTTGTATTATATTTTGGTTCACACTAGAAATATTTTATATTTAATTTTTCACTATTTAGAATTTTTTTTTACATTTTGAAAAAAACGTTTTGAACATATTGATGCAAAGATCTCCGCTATTCTGAGACCCTCACAGTATTCCAGTCCCTTTTCAAAACCCATCTCTTCTCCTCTTGTCTACTCATAGCCCACCCCCCATCAATCCATGCCGGTTGATCAAGTTTGATAGTCCCATACCCACCCCACCCTAACCTTCCCTTATATTGTAAAGCGATTTTGAGTCCTTGAAAAGCCCTATAAAAATATAATGTATTATTATTATTATTATTATACTGACAGGTATCAGATCTTGCTGAGTAAAATAATCTTCCTGAGAGGTGTCACTTGTGATGTAGTCTGTGTGGTCTACAGTGAATGTATTCCTGACAGCCACAGGCGATAAGAATCAAAGGTTCCCGTAGGATCCCATAGGAAATGCATGCGGGTCATTTTTGACCCACTTATGGAAGCGTGGGGTAGTAACACAGAAACTACAATTTCTTAAAATTTAAATTTAAAATTTGAATGGCATGATATCCAAAACATGTTTTTTGAGGAATAGCTGGAATATGAAATGATAAAAAAAAATGTGATTACAAAGATACTTCAAGAAAACCACCTGACCGGGTCAAAAAAGACCCACTTATGGAAGCTTGGGGTTAGTGTAATCAGAGTATAAGACTATATGTTTTCAATGATTATATGATCATTTGACACGACAGTAAGACGCTATCAAAATAAGAAAGGCTTGGAAAAATGCGAACCTATTCTTTAAAAGTCAATGATTCCCCTTTGTAACGTTGTTCTCTCTCTCTCCTTGTCAGATGTGGAGGCGTTTGCCAAAGCCATGCAGAGCAGTAAAGGAGACGGGAAGAAAGAGGACGACGAGGACATGAGTCTGGATTAGAGCTCACACTGCCTTTCCTTTCTCTTTCAAATGGCTTTACACTTTTCTGTATCGATGCAGCACACTGCGCCTCACTCAGGATGAAAAGAGTTTAGCAGAGCGGCTAACACGTGTTTGTTTTTACGATGACTACCAAGTGTTCATCACCAGCTCTGTGAAAGTGACCATTGCAGTGTTTCAATGTGATTGGTTCCTTTCTGTTTAACCGTAAGGCTTTTTTCTTTCTAATTCACTCTTAATTAAAATCATATTGGCAAACAAAAACAACACGCCTCAAGACTCATCTTTTGAAAATGGGAAACAAACACCAGAGAGAACAGTTAGTATGAAAAAAAACTTTATTAAAAATACATGTACAACACATGGGGGAGCAGGAGTGAGGGAGAGGGACAGCTTATTCATTCTGTGAGATATTTCATTAAAACGTGGTTATATTACAAGATTCACACTCATGTTTGGTACACGTTTACATTTGTGACGGAATAGAGATGGGAACGCTGCGTGCAAACGGGACGCGAGCCGACAGACGGGACGTTGTGCTGCGCTCACGACTTGTGAGGGTTTAAAATACTCTCAATATAGCACTACATTCATACATTTTAGGATTAATTACCTCAAACAACTGATAAATGATTCAAGTCGTTAGAGCTGTCTCGGTCATAATTACAACTTGGATGTTGTAATGAAAACCATTAAAGTGGGAAACTGGTATTTACAGTAACTTCGACATGACATGAAAGCAGCATTATCACCAAAGTGGATAGAAAATATGGGCTGCGTTTGCAATCCAATAACGCAACGAACACATTTCTTATAAGTTGGATCATTTGTGTGTAAAAGAATTAGCCATGAAATAAAAAGGCCTGTTCTGTTTGGCTAATGCAGGCATGCACATGTTCAATTATTATTTAACCCTTAGATGCACGAGTGACTGGACCCTACACTCTTCCATAAGTGGGTCAAAAAGGACCCGTATTAGAATGTGTTTTTATGCCATTTTTGTCATTTTGGTTAAGAAAAATCACTTGTATAATATTTAGTATTATATTTTGGTTCAGACTAGAAATATTTTATATTTAAAAAAAAAAAAAAAAAAAATCCATAGAAAATGCATGCGGGTCATTTTTGACCCACTTATGGAAGCTTGGGGTAGTAATACAGAAACTAAAATTTCTTAAAATTTAAATTAAACATTTGAATGGCATGATATCCAAAACATGTTTTTTGAGGAATAGCTGGAATATGAAATGATAAAAAAATGTAATTACAAAGATACTTCAAGAAAACCACCTCACCGGGTCAAAAAAGACCCACTTATGGAAGGCAAAATATATTGATAACATCTTTCAGTCTTAACACGTTTTGTACAGAACTTTGTAAGCATACTTTACTTTAACAGATCTTGAGCACCTTGAATTACACGATTATGTGTGAAGGAGGAACAAGTGGACTTCTGCCTTAATGTCGAGGAGACAAGAGGATTATGGTCACAAGCAACAATATTAAACTAAAATCAAACAGCCAATGACCTAAAGGCTCTTGTCTCCTCTTTCTTTGTGTCAATGTAATTACTCAACCTTTCATTAAACGCATCTTAGAGACTTATTTAACTCTGATATTCCCAAAGCTCAGTCCTGTCCCAGTTACAGGCAGCGTTTCCATCGGCTGCCTGAGGACTCGTACATTACAGTGTACCGACTCAGTAGGAATTCTTAACATTCTCCGCTAGAGATGCACGATAAACATCTGTACACATCGTTCACTTATTAAAACATAATGCATATAATTCATAATTCAGGAAATGTGTTTGAATGATTGACATAATGTACTTTTCATTTGTTTGCAAGTTAAAGCTTTGTTGCCTTTATTTACAATATACTACACGTTTTAGAATTGATATGTGGTAGCAGTGACTCAGTGCACCTCTACAGTCAGACAGCTGTTGTTATAGCACCCTGTAGCACAGAAACAAACCAGTAATAACGACAAACTGTCAAATATAAAATATACATTTTTCTGAAAATAGAAAATAAATATTATTATATATATTTTAAATTAGCTACAGTAACATGGCACCCACCACCAGTAATTTGTAGTCGGGGAATGTGAGGATAAGACTGTTTTTGCGTGTGTTGGGTTTACATGTGGGGGCAGCCCTGCGTGCCCACTGCTCCGTGCAGAGCGAGCGGTTTGGACAGCATGGCGGCGCGCTGGTTAATCATCGCCAGGCTGACGCAGCCGTGGAAGGCAGGGAGACCGGCGGGGAGAGCGGGAACTGGGGCGCCATCTGGAGGAGAGAGAGGGGCGAGCAATTAGGGCAACTGGGAGATGTACGATTTTAAAGGTCCCCTATTATACTGTTTTTCATCAATATATTATAGGTCTCAGATATATAACAAACATGTCTCTGAAGTGTTTGGCTCCAAACACCAAACAGATCATTGCAGCATCCCATAATCCCCTCTGTTTCAGTCCTGTTTCAAAAGTGCTGATTCTCTGTCTGTTACTTTAGATGAAAATAAGGAGCCCCTCCCCACGCCCCTCTGAGAGATATTTGGTTAAAAAGAACACAATGGTGCTCTAGGAGGAGATTCAGGTGATAAGGTGGGGGGGGGTTACCTTGGTTGGTGATTGGCTAATGGTTACACAAGCCAAAACATCATTATGACATCACAAAGTGGCCAAAATCTGATCAGCTCATTTTCAGACAGGTTTTTATATAAATGGATCAGGACAAAAAGTGAGGGGGTCTTTGTTCCTGTAACTTTCAGAGTCTCTTTACACAGAGGGGACACATGTTGATGTATAAAAGACAGGAATAAGTGGATTTTGAATAATAGGTGATCTTTAAGAGTTTTTCTTTTTTAAAAGAAGCAAACATTAGATTCAATCAGAAATGCTAATAAATGATGAAATAGTTGTCAGATTTTAAGCAATAAATGATAATATGTTCTCTTTCTAGAGAGGACAATTTGCTGTCTCTCTTAGTTGCAAGTTGTACATTTTGGCTTTAGCTTTTTACACTTTTTACACTTTTTACGCTGCTATGGACAGTCCATCACTAATGCACATTCTCAAAGATATTGAAGTGATTGTTATTTTGTAAATATTGACTGTTGTGTTTTTATTTAGGTCTTAATGTGTGCATTTTTTTAAATATGCCTTTGATTGTGTATATATAGGTATATACTTATTTGCACACATATCTTTATATATATTTGTTTTTATATTCGGGATTGTGGGAAACGGTATTTTTGTATCTCTCTGTCTGTACACACAAACTGGAAGATTGACAATAAAGTTGACTTTGACTTATTAAAAAACAAAACAAACATCTTCTGGATCTCTGCAAAATCATGATAAGGTTTTTTTGACATTGTATGAACTAAATCCATTAATCAAAAATGAAATCAAAAGATTAGTGAATGACAATAACTGATGCACTCAAAGATAATACACCTAATTGGATGGAAGGCAGATCACAAGAATACACATGGAATAACTTTTGGAATCGTCAAAAATCAAGATCAAGTCAAAGGGTCACAAAATGAAAGAGGTGTGTGTGAATGTGAACTCACCGGGGACCCCTCCGAGGTAAACGGCCTCTAAGCCCCCTGCAGAGCGGCTCTGTTTGGGGCCGACGCTCTGCTCTCTGGCTGCGTCCACTCGGAGCTGCAGGACGTTGTTCTTCTTCACCACTGGACACACACACACACACACACACACACACACACACACACACACACACACACACACACACACACACACACACACACACACACACACACACACACACACACACACACACACACACACACACACACACACACCACACACACACACACACACACACACACACACACACACACACACACACACACACACACACACACACACACACACACACACACACACACACACACACACACACACACACACACACACACTATCTCAGTGCTACAACAGGGCCAGGGGTCATTTCTTAAAATAAACTATGTCTAAATATGTTAATCATAAACCTTATTTCCATGACTAAAACAGACAATACCAACATCATTTAATATTTACTATGACAATATCTACATCAACTATGGTTGACGAAACAAATGAAAGTTCTAAAGTGCAACTGTTAACTCGAAACCTTTTTATTTTAGTTTGACGCAGTGATAATTCATTTGTAGACTGACCTGTGATGGTGTGCCAGCGTCCGTTACACAGAGGCTCCTCAGGAGTGAAGGAGGTAGAGAATTCACCTTTGCCGCTGTTTATTGAAACAGTCACCTGCACAAAAACACAAACGTCATTTACATATATTCTTTTAAATCATTCAATAATCATTTTTTAAATATGACTTTTTCCTTTTAAAATTCAATAGAAATGTCCCCAGTTTTCGTTAGACCCTCCCTGGTGTGCTCAGTCTCACCTGTCCCTGGCTGAGGACCACACTCAGGTACATCTCAGCTGTTGTCCCAGCATGCAACAGCAGCCCGGAGTCCGAGACGGGCCGAACCTCCAACTGGATCTCCAGATCCCGATCCAGAACTAAGGACTCGTCTGCAGGGAGAGAAACCGTCAGTCAGGACTCACACAGGAAAACATGTGATGACTCAAATGTTAACCAACGTGTAACTCAACATTTGAATTTCGGGAAACTACAAGGATCCGAATAATTTAGATTTGATAGACTCAGTACAAGTCAGATATGTGGGGTGAAATAATATTTCATCTCGAAAGACATTGAATTAAGCACATTTTCTTTCCCACAAATCCTGACTGTGACGTTTGAAATCTGAGGTCCCTGGAGAGATGTCCCCAATAACGTAAAAGAGTTAACTAAAGCTACTTCAATGTGGTTTCAAAACTTGAATCAGAATCAGAATAGCTGTATTAGTCCCACAGAGGGGACATTTACATTGTTACAGCAGAAAAGAGCCAAAGGCAGCCTAAGAAGCATGCATCAAAAAAATGTTTATAATAAAAAAAGTTACACAATTTACTAAAAACACACCCTGTCACAGTTCTGAGGATTTAGCAGCCAGGTATTTGTTGCACATAGTTGGAAATCATGAGTATGTTGCATTTTTCTTCATCCTAAATATAGTCTTTGGCCACAGATGGGTAATGACCACAGAAGAAGAGTGATGCCCACCTATGAGGATGTGTCCTCCCTGTCCAGAGAAGTAGGCTCCGGGCTGCAGAGGGGTCTGGAAGCAGGGCACCGTCCCCTCGCTGTAAGTGGGGTTTCCTGCAGGGGCTTCGTTGAGCGTCAGGTCCCTGACACAACCCACGAATCCACCGGAGCCTGGAGCCTGGAGTTCAAGGCAAGGCAAGTTTATTTATATAGCACTTTTTAACACAAGGCAAAGTGCTTTACAAAAATGAAAGACATTAAGAGCATTAAGAAACATATTATAAAATGGCATTTAAAAAAAAAAACACTCATTTAAAAGCAAAGATAATAAAACAAGAAACAAAGACACATGAATAAAAGTGACAGTGCAGTGTGAGATACACACATCTGAAATGTTTAGGTCTGACTCTCAATCATTGCTAACTTTTTAGCAGAAATAGTTTTCTTTGACCTCACTTTCTTTCTACTTTCTTGTTAAACTTGTCCTTTAGTTATCAAGTGTTTCATGCTCAACGAACCCCCCTTTGGAACATTCTAATCTGCAACCCAATATTGCGAAATGTTCAACGGATCCTGGCCATATTTGTGTAGCATAAACAATTCATTTGCTCCCAGACATTCATGTGGCTTGCTAGTTTTGGACCCCATCTGTGGTCAAAAAGTCACCACCAAGCATATAATAGTGCCTTTTGACTTTCTCAGAGGAAAACACACACAGAGCCTCATTATAACACATGAAGAAGAAAAGGCAACAATCCCCATGCATGTGGTCTATAGGATACTGTCAGTTCATTCTGTGTCCCCGAAACAGATATTTGGACATTTACTAAGGGAAAGAAAACGTTATAATGACTATAGGAATTATGCCAGATGTCAAAAAAGTGATTGCCATAAACGCCTCAACAGTAGACATCAAGAAGAAATCTTAATTTGAATGATCTCTAGTATAGCTACTGTACATCCAGTAGTGCGCGTGTTTATAGTCTGGATCTCTTACCGTCGGAGATCCCCCGATGTACACAGGCCCGGTGACATGAGTCCTGTCTCTCCCGGGGACTTTCTTGGACTGAGCGCTGATACCGTCCACTATCAGAATGATCTTCCCTCCATCACGCTTTATAAACACCTGAAGGGACAGAAGTACAGCAGGTTAGATATGTTGGTGGATCAGACCTAGGGCACTCACTCGAAATGTGTTTAAAGGTCACCTATTATAATGTTTTCCAACAATGTATTATAGGTCTCAGATATATCCAAAACATGTCTCTGAAGTGTTTGGCTCCAAATACCAAACAGATCATTGCAGCATCCCATAATCCCCTCTGTTTCAGCCCTGTTCCAAAAGTGCTGATTCTCTGTCTGTTACTTTAGATGAAAATAAGGAGCCCCTCCCCACGCCCCTCTGAGAGATATTTGGTTAAAAAGAACACAATGGTGCTCTAGGAGGAGATTCAGGTGATAAGGTGGGGGGGGGGTTACCTTGGTTGGTGATTGGCTAATGGTTACACAAGCCAAAACATCGTTATGACATCATAAAGTGGCCAAAATCTGATCAGCTCATTTTCATTTTTTTATATAAATGGATCAGGACAAAAAGAGAGGGGGTCTTCTTTCCTTAAACTTTCAGAATCTCTTTACACAGAGGGGACACATGTTGATGTAGAAAAGACATGAAAAAGTGGATTTTGCAAAATAGGTGACCTTTAATGGAAAAATACAAAACTAATTATGAAAATAAAGTAACGTCACATAGATTTACTGAGTACACCATGTGACCCTGAGCTCACCGTGTGCCACTGGTCGTCGTTGTACTTCTTGCGGCTGCGCAGGCTGATCTTCTTCTTCCCTCCGTACATATCGAGCAGCAGGTGTCCGTCCGAGGCGCCGAGTGACATCACAGCGTCGCCGCGCTGCCCGCAGGCCGCTGACAGCACCAGGCCATCGGAGGAGTTGATCCGCAGCGCCATGGAGATGTGAAGCCTGCACAGAGAGGAATGGGGGATCGAATGAACACTTTCAGTAACACTTAGGAAAATCAAAAGTAATTTAAAACTGAAAGAATGAACTATTTTGGCCATAACAAGTACATATTTAGCTTTTAAGCTGCTAAATATTCCCTTTCTGTTGAGTCATCATGGCTAATTTAATCATTTTGATCAATTACACAAAAGATGTCATTATGCCAGATCAATCTGCATTTAAATAATATAGCAAGATGCTCGACATAAGGTCTTATGCAACCACAATGATTTATTAGTATCATTTGTAACTGTGTAAATATGGAATTGTATTTCATTGAACTATCATTGCTGCTACCTTTGCTGTCAATTATTTATGTATATCTATTTATTTTATTACTGCAGTGAGAGATGCAAAATAAATGTCGTTATCCTCTGTATGACGACAATAAACATATATTCTATTCTTATGCCTGTGGGAATACTTTTTGCCTGTTTGTGTTTCACTAAATGTTCTCTTAGTCTTTATTATTTACCTACCTTTATATTGTTTTATTTATTTTATAAGTCTTCTTTCTGTTGTACCTATATGTTCACTTTGTATTATGGGGTTTTATATTGTATATTGTTGCATCGACTCAGTTGACTTGTGTCTTATCTGTCGTAGAGAAACCATTATTTATTTTATTTGTATTATCATACATTTGACCTCCTTGTGTCGATTAACCTGATGTTATATTTTGCTGCATTCACCTTTTAAAGTTCTTAACAAATAATCTGAGGGGAATTTCTTCTGTGTCATTTTGTAAAGCACTTTGAGCTGCATGTGTTGTATGAAAAGTGCTATATAAATAAAGCTGTATTATTATTATTACTCACATGGTGCTGAGCGAGCTGGGCAGGGAGTCGTATCTCTGGAAGCTGTGTGTGGAGCCGCTGAACTGCATGGCTCCGGCCTCCGGCTGCGACAGCTCCGCCTGGCAGGACTCCCTGGTGTTCCGGCTGCGAGACCCCGACGGCTTCCTGTTCTTCCCCTGAGACAGAGAGAGAGAGAGAGAGAGAGAGAGAGAGGAGAGAGAGATAGAGAGAGAGAGAGAGAGAGAGAGAGAGAGAGAGAGAGAGAGAGAGAGAGAGAGAGAGAGAGAGAGAGAGAGGAATACATCATTTTCTGTTATCACTCGGTACACAGGGTCACATGGTGTCTGCTCTTCATCCGTATCTTTAAACACCCTTCGTCTGTTTCTCTGTCATTAAGTGTGTGTGTGTGTGTGTGTGTGTGTGTGTGTGTGTGTGTGTGTGTGTGTGTGTGTGTGTGTGTGTGTGTGTGTACCTTGGGTTTGTTGCTCTGTTTGGGCTGAGAGGAGATGATCTGCTGAGGCTTTTTGGCAGCGGGACAGTCCATAGGAACGTTGACATTTTCTTTCACTTTTAACAGGTTCAACACCATCTGAGTGTCGGTGTTCCTGAAAGACACACAAACAAAAAATATACTCAACAAAAGATTATATTATAGCAATGTGTCAAAAAATATTCCTATACTTCTGCAAGAGCTTTCAAGACATTATACATATATAAACTAAAATATCTTTCCTTAACTATCAATAGTTTATATCTAGGGGTACAGAATAATAATATACCATTACAAAAAATAAACATATGTGATTTTGGGGGTTACAACTGGAGTAAGAAGCCATAATAAATAATAACAACTGCAAACAAGATTACTTAAATTTCATGTTTACTTTTCCAGGAGAATTTCTATAGTAATTTTCCCCCTGGTTTTTGTTTCATTATCACATTCATATACACTATAATTCTTTTTAAATGCCATTTTTGGAGGATAAAACTTGAGGTAGGAGCCGTCAAAATGTTACGAGATGTTAATGACGACTGCAATAAGAAGATTTCCCCTCTTTCATGACATGGTACCTCTTGATGAAAACGTTGCTGATGCATCCGGTGAGGTTGCTGAGGCTTTGGTTGGGCGTTCCTCCGATGAAGGTTGTTCCCTCTGTGGACGTCACCCTCCCCGCTATTCTCTCCATCCGGTTCTCCTTCGCTTTCTCCATGGAATCGTCCATGTACAGACGCATCCTGGAGGACGACAGTCAGACAGTGTGAGAGGTGCATGCTGGTACTTCACAACAAGCTTAGGACAACGTTTGAAGGCATCATGTTGACATTTGGAACAAACAGCGGGGAGCTTCATTCTACATAATTCAAACGTCAGTCCTCCTACCCCTTGTTGTTGTTGTAGAAAGAGATGTAGTGGCTGTTGTCATCGTTGTACGTCTTCAGCGTCTTCATCTCACTGTTTCCAGCTCTCACGACCACGTGGCCCTCGTGCAAAAACACCTGACACACTCCAACCTGTACACACACACACACACAACAGGTTAGAACACAACGTGTAAGGAGAGGACACTTGGAAGTCCACAAGACCAAAGCAGGAGAAGGAAAACACCTACAATTTTATGAGCAAGAAAGAACAGCGGTTTAGTTTAAATAAATAAAATAAGAGAAATGACAGAGGAAACAGGAGGAGATATGAGGCTGACCTTATCGTGGTGGTAGAACATGAGTCCCTCCTTCTGATCCGTCCTGAAGCTGAAGCTGGCGTAGAAGTTGTCCCTGAGGCTGGGGATGTTTGTCAGAGCCAAGTCCAGGTAGCTCTGCCCGGAGAAATGAGCCTCACGAGCCACCTGTGAGAGAGCACACACACACACACACACACACACACACACACACACACACACACACACACACACACACACACACACACACACACACACACACACACACACACACACACACACACACACACACACACACACACACACACACACACACACACACACACACACACACACACACACACACACACACACACACACACACACACACACACACACACACACACACACACACACACACACACACACACACACACACACACACACACACACACACACACACACACACGAAGTTGCAAAGTAGGTAGAAAAAAACAAATATATATAAGGACAATACAAAATAAGTATTTTTAAGAAACAATTTAGCATTAAAAAAGGATGTTATAGACAAATATTTACACCAAATTTAAATGTAACTATACAAATCACCGTAAAAGCTAAAAAAACTAAAACACTTAGGACAATGAGTATATATGGCAAACTACAGTGTATTATATGTACTCCTTCATATCAGCACAAATGCAGAACTAAAGGAACTGTATTTGTAACATGTTAAGTGATTATACTTTTTTTTACAAGTCTATGGATTTTACTTTAATGGGAAAAATGGCTGTTATTAAACGCTCTTCTGCTTAAAGTGGACCTATCATGCTATATTTGAATAATATAGTGTAGGACCATACCTAAATAAGGCATATTTATACTTTTTTTTTTTCAAAATACCAAACAGATCATGCATTTTAGCCATGCCTCATTTTGCTCAATTTGCACTTTTTTAGCTCTGATTTTAGGGCTGATTCTGTGAGAACAGCACCATCTAGAGGCCTGGCATATGTACTACAGCGTCTCCAGCGCTTTCGAACGGCAATGGCCGTGGCTGTCTCCTTCTGATTGGTGGAGTTGGCCCAATAGCCGTAGCGCCACTGTCCTGACGTCAGGACAGTGTTCAAATCTGGATCAGTTTTTATCAGATCTGTTGCAGCCCTTTTTTAGAGATTTGGGTATGGAGGAAAATAGAGAGGGTTGTGTTTTCTGACACTTGGTGAGTTCCCTGGAACACCGGGGACACATATTCATGTATAAAAGACGTACAAAAGTGCATTTTGCATGATAGGTCCCCTTTAAGTTAAAGAGGACCAGAGCAAGGCAAAACGGATTAGCAGTATTTTTGCCAGATCTTATTGAGAGGAACAAATAATCAGACAATGTACCTTTGCTTAAAAAATACTTTTTCAAAAATGTATTTTGAGATTAATAAAATAAATAAGATCAGAATGACATGTTGACATTAGAATGTTATAAAATGTGTCTTTTCATGTCAAAAAGGTTGTGTTTGGTATAGAACTGGCTTGATAGAGAGTTCAGATCATGGACACTTGTACATCTCAATATATAAGATAATGATCTGAATGTTTTTTCCTCACCATCAGGTCGCTGTTGCAGCCGAAGCTGACTCCGGAGCTCTTCATCCTCTTCAGGTCGATGTGGGCGCCTCCGGGAGACTTGACGTTCCTGAAGCAGCCCTTCAGAGAGCCCTGCTTAGGGAACATGGACTTCAACCTGGAAAGAGACGGAGACAGAATGAAACAGCCGGACATCTTTTTATTTAAGGCTTTATTTCTTTGGCCAATAAAGAACAGGACTCCTCAGCAAGCTAAATTACTCACACTGTAGACATGTCATTGGCATAGTATCTACAGGGAACAGTCTTATATGTGTATAATGGTGCGTACGTAAACACAGTAAGAGCTGATAAAATGTCAAATAAGAGAAAATATAGGAACAAATATCAATTCAGAAATAAAAATAAATAGAAACTGCTACGAATTTCTATCCAATAATGTGTGTTTTTCTTGTTTCTTACTTTACTTATTGACTTATGTTGTCCATACATTTAGTATTATACAATTAAAGGTGGGGTAGGTAAGTTTGAGAAACCAGCTCGAGTGTGCTAGAATTTGAAAATACACAACCGGAGAAAATCTGCCACTTCCTTATAGAGCCCCTCCTCCAACACACACGAACGCGCACATGACCAATGAGGGCACGAGATAAGTTTGTGCACAGATGGAAGGCTGACAGGCAGGTAGGCCATCCAGTTATTTTAGCTGGGCCGGCTAAAATGATTGGTCGTGCTTTTTACAGTACTACGGCTTCTACAGATGAAATTTTTTTATGGATTTTTTGTCAAAGCACTTGAGATATTCATTGCTATCGGGATGTTAAGAGCATTCCATGGAATATAACAAAAAGTGTATCTCGAGCCGGTTTCTCAAACTTTAAGACAAACCTATGTATTGAACTTTTGAAAACAAAATAAAAAATGTTTTAGTTTGTCTCACTTCAGTGGCATCTTGTTCTCCGGGACTCCTCCGAGGTAGAAGTTGCCGTCGAAGGGGGGGATGCTCTCTGTGAACTCTTGGCTGTAGAGGACTTTCCGGGAGTTCCTCACCACGATGCGGTTCAGCTGCATGATGAGGATCTCCAGCTACACAGTTCACAACATCACGTCACACATCGACACATAACACTTCAATTATCAACCACAGCAATCACAAAGACTCAAGAGAAACATTTTTTATTGCAGTTGAAAATTAACGGATTCTATTTTTGACAAGAAATGATTGGCTCCCTGTAGTTTTCAAACACAATGTATAATGAGAAAGAAAATGACAGACAGAAGACTTACAGTTTTGATGTCGCCGTCACTGATCTTCAAGAATTCAGATGAAGGGTCTTTGGGCTGGAGCTCCACCAGAACACCAGTGAAGTCGTAGAAAACTCTCAGGATGCCCTTAAGCACCACCAGACACAGGAACTGATCCTGCAGGAGGGCGGGGACACGGAGGAAACTTTGAGAGAGCACTTCTAGCTTGACAAATCCTGCGGAGCTTGCATGTAATGCTAGGAAAGGATGTTAAGAGTGATACAAATAATAAATAGATAATAGGCTGTAATGTTTGTTTCTTTGCCGAAGTTACAACAAGGGGGATTCATCTCTGATTACTTAAGCAATAGCTCACGACAAGCCGTGGTATATGGCCATTATATCACAGCTAAGGGGCGTGGTTCGGCCCGACGCGAAGCAGTTTGCTTTTCAGCCCAACTGTATACTGTTTTTCTCAGACGCGGAGGGATACTGACTTGTTGTGAAAAGTAACTTACAATTCTACCCGTGGTATACACTCAGTATATCACGGCTAAGAACCAATCAGATTGCTTGATTTGACTTGTCCGTTTTATAATAGAGCATATATCATTCCCCACGAATACAATCATATTCTGCGTTAAATAAGATACTCCCCCTTTTATTAGTTTTATGAAGGAGATGTCCAGTCAGTCACCAAGGCGCATGATGTGTGTGTATGTGCTCTGCTCAGCTCAGCTCTGTGTGTTCGGTGTGTTTGTGTCTGTCCGACACCCGCATATATGCGGCTGTTCCCAAAATAAATTAGTTTAATCTTAATCTCGATGTAGTGCTAAATGCTGTCGGGAGTGCACCGGAACGAACGACACTATCATAATATCTTCTGAAAACAAATGCCAGTGCCACACACACACACACACACACACACACACACACACACACACACACACACACACACACACACACACACACACACACACACACACACACACACACACACACACACACACACACACACACACACACACACACACACACACACACACACACACACACACACACACACACACACACACACACACACACACACACACACACACACACACACACACACACACACACACACACACACACACACACACACACACACACAACACACACACACACACACACACACACACACACACACACACACACACACACACACACACACACACTTGGCGACCGGACATCTCCTTCATAATGCGCCTTCTCCTCGTTTTCCCAGCATTCACTGGATTATCCGTAAATCATACAAACAAAACCAAAACGTTGATTTATCTGTTTTCCCGTTTTGGTTTAAAAACTGAATAACGTCGGTTTTTTGGTTTTCCGAAAAACCAAAAAACAACACCGGTTCTTTTTTAAACTTTGTTAATATGTTTTGGATGCATATTGTTCTAGTATTTGTTCAGGCTGTTACATACAATTAGCCTCTGATGCTACCTGCTGGTGGTGAGTAAATATTAAAATCAGTTAAAATTGACAACCGGTCCGCGATTTTTTTTTAATGTATCTACCGGTCCTTGGCACAATAAAGGTTGGGAACCCCTGATTTACAAGACCCACATCAGGTTTTTATCTAATACAAAAATGTGGTTTAATCCATATTTGTTGCGGTTTACACCACAACAACAACTTTTGCACGCACGAAAAACAGCCCAAAACTATTTAGCTGACGCAGTTTACAGCCCGGCACAAACCAAAATACATAATGAATGTCTCATATGTTTGCTGAATGAAAGCATAACCCTTACAGTAAAGGCCTTTTTAGGGGCGGGTCATGCGATGTTTAGGGGGAGATTGCAGGTCAACTGTTTATACCACAACAAAGTGTTATACTTTATCTTAAGGCTAAAATCACAATGTTTAAATTAATTTGAGATGCACCTCAGCATTGTGTGTCAATATTTGTAATACACATTGTGTTTGATTATGAATCTATTAAAGAGGCCCTATTATTCTTTTGGGGGTTTACCTTTCCTGTAGTACTCACACTTCTATTGGCTAGCGTACCTTTACTTTAGAAATGAGCCCACTACAACCTTTTAACGACAGTCAAATTGACCGTATAATGAGTAAAGTGTTTACCTCCTTCTGCAGCAGGAGCAGAATGCCGTTGTGTGAGATCAGCTTCACTTCCTGTTCGAAACGCTGAACTCGAGGCATTTCTTCAGAAAAGGTGATCTCAGCATAGCCGGTACCGTCGAAATACGACCCGTCATTCACCCAGGGCTGAGTCAGCACCGGCTTCAGCCTGTTTTCAGCAATTTTAAATCAATTGTGATTCACACGGAGGAAGACACATGGGAAATACGAGAGAGTGGGATTAGTCAGAAGTAAAAGAAAGAAAACATTGAAGTCATTGTCTTATAAATAGAATAGCGGTTACTAACTCAAACGTTTTTTTGCTACTGAGACAGAATAGAATAATCCAACATCCAACAAATATTTCAGTTAAATAAGTCAAATGACCACTTGACACTGACCTGCCACAGGGTTTCTCCTCGGTGGTGTTGAGTTTGAAGACGCTTTCAAAGTTATACAGACTCAGCACTTCCTCGTTGAGCGTATCTAGCTCGATGCAACCTTTAAAGTTCGGCAGAGCGAGCTCAGCGGGGGGCTACAAAAAGAATAAAATAAATAAAATAAACAAAATAAATAAAGAATTGGATACTTTGAATAAATGTACATCAACACTAGCCTAATGCCTCCTCGAATGAAAAGGGAACATTGTTGTGCTTTTTAAAAGATAGATTTTCCAGATTCTATTTCGTTTTTTATAAACTTTGAATTGGGTTTTTATTTCTGTATTTTTTACTTTATTTATATATTTTTTTTCTCTCATTAGTTTTATTATAAGATTTAATGATAACCCACATAAGGGCACAAAAAGCCCTCTATTAACACATGTGTTAAAAGATACTATTTAGAATTTGATATTACCTTTTTTAGTAACTAAATAAAAAAACATCCACATTTTTCAGTGCAAACATGAATCAAGTAAAAACGATGTTAATGTTGACGCTCTCATAGGCCTCGACTATGATGCAATGGAGGAGTAGCGACTACCAACACAACTACCCGACAACAGAAGCCTCTAGCCCCCCCCATGAACTCACCTTGAAGGATTTGGGGTACCCTCCCACGTAGAACACAGTGTTGTCGGTGAGGAGGTTGAGCAGACCCTGATCCCCCCTCGCCTCCTGGTAGGCTTTAGTGACCAGAGGGTCTCCCTCCGCTTCTGAAGACATCGACATCTGACCGTACTGCAGGACCCTGCCATCAGCCACAGACAAATTGATATCAATTAGGAAGCACACAAAGGTTTGTTTATTCTGCGAGTGCATGTCTCCACGTATCATGATTTGATGTAGTTGTTTCTGAAATAGCACTTAGAGCCAACACTAGAACCGCCAGAGGTCGCTGTATACCTAAAACCGCCAACGGGACAAATTTACCCGCTATTGATTTTCAAGGTACAATGTTCTTTTATTTATCATGTAGAACAGTGAGTTTTGATCGCACAGGGATGAAACTTATACCAATAGAATCTGTGGACTCTCAGCTTTTCATATGATATAGTTTGTCCAGATACCATGAAGTATAAAATATCGCTACCAGTGCTGATTTAAACGCTTGGTGTTAGACTTGTGTTTTGTTTAGGTACAAATCTCTCTATCTCTCTCTCTCTATCTATCTGTCTATCTCTCTATCCATCTCTCTATCTCTCTCTCTCTCTCTCTATCTATCTATCAATCTATCTATCTATCTATCTCTCTCTCAATCTATCTATCTATAAGGAACCGCAGTAGACAAAAGGCGTTGCTATAGCAACACGTCATGTTTACGCTGCATTTTCTATAAGATAAATATTACCCGCTGGCGGATATAGGTATAAATGGCATTTTTTTTGGCGATTCAAACTGAGTGGCAACCTTGCTAGAAAAGTGCATTTCCACTTGGCGCACACAGTAAAAAAGAAGAACATATACTACTACTGTATACTGCAAATTGCTTACAATATCCAAGCATGAAAATGCATTTTTTTTTTTACATTTATACTTTCAAACTGGAGCAAACGTCTTTATTTCATCATGTGAACATCTAGAATCACATCATCATGTACTATATGCATGTTAATATTGAATATAGTGTGTGTATCGTACCTCTCCAGCACGATGCTGTTGAAGTCCCCATTAGATTTGACTTCTTCAGGCATCAGCACCTCAGCAGTTTCTCCTCCAATGTTGAAGTACCAGAGCAGTCTCTTCCCCACCAACGCCATGCCCAGGAACTCCTTACTGGACTACAAACACCAGACAGGAAGCAATGAAACTACAGAAACCATACTATGTTCTCTCATCAAAATCTCTTAGAAACATTATCACTGAAAAAACAAAGAATAAACCAGGAAATGTTTTGGAAAGATGCCGTACTGTTATTGACCAAGCAATCACTATCTCAGAATTAAATAAAATAAAAACAACATTTAAAATAATTAGCTCCTTAATTAATTTGTTCTGAATTGTTTGTTTAAAGATTTCAGCAGGAAGAGTAAACTTGGGTCTATTTTCACCCTCAATCTCTCTGAATGCACTTGTTTTGGCAGGTTGCACCGACAGTACATTTTGAATGATTTCTAGGAATTATTATATTTTATTTAACAACACATAATATAGGCTCCGTGTTGGTGATGCTTACATCCTTGTTGCCGAGGTAGAAGATGAACTGTTTGTCGCTGTTGTCCTGGCGACGGGCGCGGGCCGCCTCCGGCAGAGTGATGTAGAACTTCAGGGAGGTGTAGGCGGCGAGGTCGGCCAGGTTGTGTGGCGTTCGCACCTGAACACCCGCCCCCCCGTTAAACTTTACCGGCACGCCAACCTGGACAGAGGAGAGAGGCATTAAAACATGACTGGCTGCCTGAACACGCAATGAATAGTTCAATTAAAAGCAGCGGCAGCAAGAGAAGTCTTCAGCCTGGATTTAAAAGTAGTACGAGTAAATCCAGAGTAAGAAGGGAAATAGTCTGCTTTAATAGCATTTTCTGAGGCTTTGCGATCTCTAAAAGCGCTTTAAAACACAAGGCAGCATTCACCAATCCACGCACAGGTTATAATACTCATCAGGAGTGAGAAACATATGAGGGTTTTCCCGTTCATTTGAGATGTTTCTTTGTGTTGTTACCTTGCTGGCAGCGTTGCGCGCCTGCTGGATGAGCTGCCGGATGCGGCTGATGTTCTCCGAGATGTTTGGCATCTGCGCCGAGTGGTTCTGCAGTTTGTCCAACTTCTTCATGAGCAGAGGAATAGTATCACCCAGCGTGTGCACTGAAGAGAGAAAGAGTTACATTAAGAGACATATGGTTTGACTTTATGTCGACTCATAACTTGACATTTGTTATTGTGTTGGATTTGCTTTATTGTTATTGAATATTTGATATATGGCAATACAGTAGTTACATGTTTTTCATTGAGGAAGCGACTAATGATATATCTTTGTTATCAGTTAATCAGATTTATGATTGAATAGTTTTGTCAGAGCCCAAGAAAACATTTTCAAACTGCTTGTTAGATTAGATGTATATGAGCAGAAACATGGTGAAAAAGCACAGACACTAACAGAACAAAACAAAGCTTTTGGTAATTATTAGTTGTTGAAATTAGTTTATTTTTTAATATTTTCGATGTCCCCTGGCTCCTACCAGTTTTGTTGGCCTCCATCAGGGCGTTGTTGATGTCTTCGTTGGTGGCGTTGGCGTCCCCGTACGTCTGCTGCCATTGGTCCAGCTTCTCTTTAATGGGACGCAGGGCATCGTTGATCTGTGTGGCCGTGGTGTTCGCTAAATCAGCCGCTTGCTTCGCCTTGCTGATCTCCTGACTCACATCTGATCGTCACAGAGAAAGAAGCGCAGAAATGAAAAAACAAAACAACAACGTAAAAACAGGTAACAATGTATAAGCTAAATCTATGTAAGTTATTGGCTTGGATGATTTATATCACTGCCTCCGCATGTTCATTACATTTGTAATTGTGTACATTTAATACATCACTTCACAACCTTGGAAGAGTTTGAATATATGTCTTAAAAAAGAGTGATAGATATTTTCACCCTAGCTATCTGAACATGCTTTTAGACATGTATTTTTTTAGTTTGCACTTAAAGGTAGGGTAGGTAAGAATGGAGAGACCAGCTCAAATGCGCTATAATTTGAAAGTACGCAGCTGAAAAAAATCTGCCCCTTCCTTCAGACTTCCTTACAGAGCCCCTCCTCCAACACACATGAACGCGCACATGACCAATGAGGGCACGAGATAAGTTTGTGCCCCGATGGAAGGCTGACAGGCAGGTAGGCCATCCAGTTATTTTAGCCGGGCCGGCTCAGATGATTGGTCGTGCTTTTTACAGCGCTACAGCTTCCACAGATGACATTTTTTTAATGTATTTATTGTCAAAGCATTTAATATATTCATTGCTATCGGGATGTTAAGAGCATTCCATGGAATATAACAAAAAGTGTTTCTGAAGTGAATTACCTACCCCACCTTTAAGTTAGAATGCACCTATTTTAAGATGCTTTAAATATGCGCTTCTGCTGATTCATTGTAATAACATTTCTGAGTCTGTTGAAAATGCTTACTTGAGGTGAAGTTGAGGTTCTTCTGAACCAGCTCCAGGTCTTTCATCACGTCGAGCTGTTTGGTTTTGGCGTCCTTCAGTCGCCTCTCAGCGTCTTCCAGCTGCGGCTTCAGTTCTGTGCAGCAGAAAAATAACTAATTCAACTACTCTGAATTATACAACACTCTACTTTAACGTGATTTCTTGACATTCCTTAAAAATCAATCAATATAATACACATCTTGATATAAAGATGTGTGTTTACCGTTGTTGAGTTCATCTCCCAGCTTCTCCACTTCGTCCTTCAGCTCCACGCTGTGGTTCCTCAGAGAATCTGCGATCTGACTGAGATCCTGGTCCTTTATGTTCTACACAAAAACACCCATATTAAAAGGTCAGAAATCAACAAATAAATAGCTAGAGACAGTTCTTTTTATGGGAAATGTGCTCATACAGTACAAGAGGGAAACATATGTTTTCGTCCTGTACCTCCATAGTGTCGTTTGCAGCCTTTTCAGCCATCTTGGCGGCCTCCTCTGCGTCCTTGATGCTGTTGATGATCTTGTTGTAGGATTGTGTCACATCCACAAGTCCCCCCTTCTTGGTTTCTGCAACCAAACTGCAGAGAAAAGATTATCAACATCTTTCATTTTCTCTTAAATAACTTCTGATAGGATTTTCCTTGTGAGTTTAGTCACCCCAGAGCCCTACAGTGCAGCTTGTTTGTCTGCCTCCTCTACCTGATTAATATATGCTGTAGATAAAAAGTGAACTAGTGTCTTACTCGGTCAGGTTCATGGCTAAAGTGTTCAGCAGCTCCGCGTGTTTCTCTGCTTCCTCCACCAGAGGAATTTTGGATTCGGCCGAAGCAAAGTGCTGCACTTTAGTTGCCAGAGGTGTCCGGGCGCCGTCCAGCTGCGCCGCCAAGCGCTCGTACTCCTGAGAGAAACATTTGATATGTATAAGAGACACTGTTCAACGTCTGGCATCAGCAATCAATATTATAAATATAATCTTAGAAAACTAGACGGTTAACTGATTTTCAATAACAAAGAAAATATGTATTAATTTTAAACCATTTCATAATATTTGTATAAAACCTTTATACCGACTGAATCTTATGTTTCTTTAATAACAAATCTTATATTAATCTTTAAATAAGATGCAACTTAACCGTAACCCCAAAATAAAATAGTTGGCATCTAGATTCTTATTTGACAAATATACAGTTACAATTCAACCACAAATTTATTTTTTCCCCCAACAATTTGTAAAAGATATTACCCAGAATACCAATAACTGTATGTCTTATTAAAGTAATGGTATGCAGCGATTTAGTGGACAAAAGTGGTAACTAAAATACGACTCAAAATGAAAAGAGCTGATTTTAAATGTATAAAAAAACAACACAATGACGATATGTTGTATTAATTGCAAAAAATGTAAAACAATATTAGTCATGCCATAATGACAATTACATAATTATTGGTTTAAAAATGGTTGAACTTAAATAAGATTATTAAGTTAATGAATTAAATAAATGATTCTGACCTCTTTGGAGTCGTGCAGCGTGGACAGCACATCGTTGACATGCGCTACGTCATCTTCAGCCATCTGCAAATGATCCTCCACCTCCTTCTGCTTCATCACCAGGTCATCTACCCTCCTCTGCCACACACACACACACACACACACACACACACACACACACACACACACACACACACACACACACACACACACACACACACACACACACACACACACACACACACACACCACACACACACACACACACACACACACACACACACACACACACACACACACACACACACACACACACACACACACACACACACACACACACACACACACACACACACACACACACACACACACACACACACACACACACACACAGTCAATATCACTTTTTATAAGGGATACACCTATTGCACATTTCTCAAACACATCTGATACTGATAACAGTAAACACATTGGTGAATCCCTACTCTTTACAACTGTCCTGTTCTCCTTCTTTTCTGTTGTTGTTTATTTCCCAGCTCACCTGGTTGTCCTCCAGCGTTTTCTCATTGTTGTTGTTGATCTCCGCGGCTCTGGCCGTGTTGTTTACGGCTTCGTTCAGGGCGTCTCGCAGATCCATCATCTCCGAGTGGAAGCGTGCCAGGCGGTCTTTGATAGTCTTGGCCATGTCGCTGTTTTTTCCCTGACGATTGGCCAACTCCTTGTTAACACGATCCAGCACTGGGAGAGGACACAAAGACCCAGTTTGAGGATGTGATTACACCCGCTATACAATTAGTTGTTGTCAGGTTGCATTAAGTCAGTTTAGTTCGTTTTAAAAAGAATGACATTTTGAACAAATCTTTTAAAAACTGACGTACTTTGAAAAGTTACATCAGTATCAACATGTGATATATGCATTCATTAGTCTCTTTTCCTTTTAACTATAGAGTGCTGAGACAAAATAAGTCCTGAAATTAGTTGCCAGTTTAGCACTGCCCTTGTCTAAAAGTCATGAATTTTTAAATTGGGTTTCAAGTGAAATATCTGAAATAAGAAATAAATGTTATTAAAAAAATACTTCAGTAAATACAGTACCTCACTTGTGAACTTTTAATCCAATTATCCAACCACTAAGAGAAGTACAGTATCTTATGGACTTTTTTGACGAGGGAGCAGGACGGTAACTTACATGTAGTCCTAAAATTTATATATAATCAATACAGCACTCTTTTGACATAACATAAAAAAAAAGGCCAAGTTGTAAAGATTGTCTTCATGAGTGAACTCACATTTCTGCGCCTCGGTCTTCTCCCTGTCAGCTATCTTCTTCTGGCCCACGCAGCTCCTGAACCTCATCTCCCTCATCATGGCCTGCACCTCCCTCATCTTCCTCTCCCTCTCATCGTCGTCCTGGTACGCCTCCGTGTTATTCAGCAAGGACCGGTTCGCCATCATCAAGATTTCTATGGAAAGGCATCACATTAAATCAACCAATCAAATGGTCTGTAGGTTTTGTGGGATGAGACAGTTAACACTCCTCTTGACACACAGAGATGGTTCAGATGAAATGTTAGATATTCTAATGGCTACTAAAGTCTCTTTTTGTATAGCTATGTTTGATACATTTTGGGGGTCCTACCGTTTATATCCATGGTTATGTTGTTGATAAAGGACAGCAGGTCTTCCGCTCTCTGGTGTGTTTTAATGGTGCTGTTGCCCAGGTTACCCGCTTTGTAGGTCACCGCTGTCGCCTGAAAACACCAAAACAACATAACACTTAGTTCTATTTAACAAACACACACATTAAAGGTAGGGTAGGTAAGTTTGAGAAACCGGCTCGAGATACACTTTTTGTTATATTCCATGGAATGCTCTTAACATCCCGATAGCAATGAATATCTTAAGTGCTTTGACAAAAAATCCATAAAAAAATTTCATCTGTGGAAGCCGTAATACTGTAAAAAGCACGACCAATCATTTTAGGCGGCCCGGCTAAAATAACTGGATGGCCTACCTGCCTGTCAGCCTTCCATCTGTGCACAAACTTATCTCGTGCCCTCATTGGTCATGTGCGCGTTCGTGTGTGTTGGAGGAGGGGCTCTGTAAGGAAGTGGCAGATTTTCTCCGGTTGTGTATTTTCAAATTCTAGCGATCTCGAGCCGGTTTCTCAAACTTACCTACCCCACCTTTAATAATATGATTAGTTTAGACTGTTAAAGGAGGTTCTGGTTTAGTGTTCAGTTTCTGGTAAAAAGTCGAGTGAATTGTCGCTGAGCAAGTTCGTCTGGTACAACAAGAAAAAAGATAGAATTATTATTTTTCAAAGTAAGAGACCACACCTTGTCCTGCAGCTCAGTGATGTCATCGTCGATATTAGCGATCTCAGCCTCGAGCACGTCGGTCCGACTCCGGCTGTCATCCAGCGTACTGTTGTAGTTCTCTATGGCGCGCTGGAATCATGGGAAAACACGTTTAATAAAAAAAGATATGTACTATACCATAAACCTAACAAAACATCGATCTTACAGCCACTTGAGCCACATAATGTGTGTGTGTGTGTGTGTGTGTGTGTGTGTGTGCGTGTGCGTGTGCGTGTGTGTGTGTGTGTGTGTGTGTAGACTCACAGCGACGTCCTCCAAAGACTTGTTGAGGTTGTGCAGCTGAGCCCAGGCCATGGAGCTGGCGTTCAGGCTGCTCAGCTGACCGGTCACCGAGCGGAAGTCCTCGCTCATTTTTTCAAGATCCTCCAACAGGACGATGACACAGCTGTCACACGCTGCAAGGAGAAACACACACACACACACACACACACACACACACACACACACACACACACACACACACACACACACACACACACACACACACACACACACACACACACACACACACACACACACACACACACACACACACACCACACACACACACACACACACACACACACACACACACACACACACACACACACACACACACACACACACACACACACACACACACACACACACACACACACTTAATTTCCATAAAGAGATATAGACTCTCTAAGAAATGTTATGTTCTTTACACAGCAGCCCATTTTCTCTCCACACGGATCAGTGTTAAAAACATGGTGTTCCCATGAATCACTTAGACATTAAATCATAGGGTCCTGGTTGATATTGAACACATAAACGTACTAACTGCTGTCATTATAGGTTTGGGAATGTGTTTGTTCTTACGTTCACAGTGCATGCCATGTTGCTGCTCTACAGGTACGTTGAATTTGTTTGAGCAGGAGTCACACTGTTTTCCTGTCATCCCGTTGGGACAGCGGCACTCTCCAGAGCGGGGGTCACAGCGCCCTCCTTTACAGCTGCACTCTGCACACAGGGAGGGGAGGGGAGGGGGTCATGTTAAAAAGGACGGGTGGGGTTGATTTTAAGTGTTTTAACAATTTTGCATCCGCAGTGTGATTAAATAAAAATCTACTCATGAGACTAAAACGATGTTAAATGGGACGACTGACCTTTCTACCTTATTCTAAATGATTGCACTAAACTCTAGCTTGCAATGACACAATACATATATATATATATATTTGTATACACATTTCCTTAAACCGATATATTCCTGCACTTTAACTTTATCTGCATGTTGAAGTATGAATGCTTGTTGTTTGTATGTGGTCTTCTCCTGAATGTTGTACGTCTCTTGTTTGTTTTTTGTATTTTTGATGGCACCTTCAAAAAAGGAGTAGCTCTACTCCTCTCATTGTACCTGTATAATGACAATAAAGGATTCTATTCTATTCTTTTCTGTTTATAGGTCATCACGTCCTGCATGCACTCACCCTTGCAGCCGTTAGGTCCGTAGTCCCAGTGTCCCGGAGCGCACTGTTTGCAGCTGGTTCCGTTGACCCCGGGCCGGCAGGCGCACTGCCCGCTCTGAGGGTCGCACGGCTGCACCAGCGCTGCAGACGCCTCACAGTCACAGTGCCGACAGCCGGAGCACGACTCGAAGCCGAACGAGCCGTCCTGAGAGGAGACAGAGACAGGCAGAGGCATGAGGGGAAGCTATACAAAATAACGCATTACATCGGACATATAGTGTTTACACAAATATATGACAAAGATTTCCTCTCATCTGATAGGCCTGAATTCTTTTGAGTTGTGTCAGTATTTGTGCCTAAAGAATGACTGAAATGTGTTTTTCTGAAGAGCAATGAATTGATATATCAACAAAAACAATATGGGTGCAAATTATATTTTAGAATAATCCAGATATAAAAACGTTAAAATGTGGAGAGAAAAACTTGAAGCTCTTACCTCACAGCGGTCGCAGTGCGGTCCGGTGACTCCGGCTTTACAGCGACACTGTCCAGTGTGGCGGTCACATGACTCGGTGCCGCATGGAGAGCAGTTACATTCTGCGTGAAAGAAAACAAAACACACAAAACCTTTAATCTGCTGTTACACATTTTACTTAAACAATCTACTGAAAGCCTAATTAATTATAAATACTTTAGACCAGAGCCTCTTAGGAGAGAGCAAGTGTTTAATGTGCTATTTCTGTTGATAGAAACGTTTTTTTTGGTTGAACTCACTGGTGCAGTTTTTGGCGTCGATGGCGTCTCCGTAGAAACCGGGGGCGCAGATGTCACAACGTGGCCCGGCCGAGTCGTGCATGCAGCTCAGACACACGCCGGTCAGAGGGTGACAGTCGGTGAAGAGCATGTTGGGGTCGTTGTTGCCGCTGCAGTGACACAGCTGGCACCTGCTGCCCAGCACCATGGGGTTGCCGTAGTAACCGGGGGCACACCTGTGAGAAGAGACCTCTTTTTTAAAGATACATTCGTCTGCAGCAGCTCAGATTAAGATATATTTATCCGTGAGGGAAAGTAAGTACTAACATTTTGTATGCAACTGATGCAATGATCAGTATTCAGCATTTAGCTGTAGTTTAGTTCAGCCATACACTCGTATTTAAAATGTTATTTTCCCCGATGTGTTTTGGCCATTTGTCCACACACAGATGGCTTTTTAGGTAACTGACAGCTTTTGAAAAACTTCTTCCAGGGTGAAGATTATCAGTAACTCTCTTTTGTAATGTTGATATATGTTACTCTTCCACTAGATTGAGACTTCTTATCAAACCCACTCTGTGCTGATTTACCTTTCACAGTGAGGGCCAGCGTAACCCGGCATACACAGACACTGCATCTTGTCAGTCTTCTGCACACAACCCTCTGCAAAGCTGCAGGGACAAACAAAGAATATTACAAAATACTAGTATAAGATAACATTTGAAAAGTAACTAGAGCAAGACTGAAAAAAAGGGAGTAAACTGTGCTGACTTGTTGGAGGCGACCCTCAGTGGGCAGGGGCAACTGGAGCATGACACCGCCTGTCCGTCAAGACTGTTGTTGCCAAGGAAACCACCCCGGCACGTCTCACAGTGGTCACCGGCCGTGTTGTGCTGGCAGTCCTGATGAAAGAGGAAGGAGGAAGGATACGAGATGATGACAATGCTGAAGAAAGATATAAAAAAATATATGTGTGAGTGTGTTTTTATATTATATCTCACCAAACAGATTCCAGATCCGTCCATACAGTGATCAGAGTGTCCGTTACAGTTACAGGGAACACATTTCCCCAAAAACAGACCAATAGTGTCTCTGTAGAAACCTGGAGCGCATTTCTGTAGATGAAAGAAACAAGTAAGTAAGGGATGGAATTCTTTATCAATGAATAACATGACTAACTGATGATTAATGAACTCTTCTTGATTAACCTCACCTGACACGAGTCTCCGAGGTAGTTGGCGGGACACATGCAGATCTCCACGTTGTTGGCGTGGCGACCAGCGGGCAGGGTGTCTGCGGCCTCCAGCACGGTGCCGCGTATGGACACAGAGTGGGCCGACTGGGAGTGCAGGGCCCGGATCTGAAGGGACTCCAGACCCACCAGGACCATCATCAGCTCCTCACGGGACACAGAGTTACCGGTCTGAGCGTGGCGGAAACTTCCCTGAGAGGAAAAAGGAGGACAAAGGTCAGGTTTGGGCTTTAGACTGTTCCTTATTCCACAATGACCTTTAACCCTTGTGTTGTGTTTGAAAGCTGTTACCGTTCATGGTGTTCGCGGGTCAATTTGGACCCATGATTTATCTCAGTCCAAAACACTCAAAAAGAATGACTATCCTCCAATATTGTTTTAACTACATCACAACTAACTTGTTATGCATTCATAACCGTACAATCCTGTTGTAATTGTATTACATTATTATTTATTTATATTTATTACAGCACATATTGCACACGTGCATGTGTGTGTTCAGGTTCAAGTGTTAGTGTACATATTCTTTGAGAAAGGTCGAGTTCCCGTGGGGGGAGGGGAGACCAGGTGCATGTTGCGAATAAAAAATATTGTTACAGTGGCTGAAGGGGGTGGGGTGTCTAAAGTCAAAGATGAATCTTGATCGGGTCAAATTTGACCCGGAGTCACCCACAACAATTCTGCTGACCTTCAGACTTGGCTAAAATGGTCAAAATCAGTTTTGTAGTGTTTATATAGCTGTTGTGGAGGATATCATGAAGCCTTGTTCCGATAAAAAAAACTAGAGCGTAGTTATTATATAATTTTAACTTGAAAGGGTCACGGGAGACCCCAACACAACATAAGGGTTAAAAAAAAAAAAAATGAACATTGTTAGACATCAAAACATGGAAGGTGACGCCTGTTGGCTGGCAAATACAATATGTTAAGAGAGATAGAGAGATAACAAAACAAATATAAAAGCACAACAAACACTAAATATATGTCAACCTAAAAATAAACCACTTTTATTTGTAGGGGTGTCACGCTATACCAGTATTGCAGATAACTCTGATATTTAACATTTTTTATAATGATATCATAAATCGTTAAAACATAAATTAATATGTGGTGTAAAGACAACGTTCCACCTGCAAAACAGTGCAACTTTGCAGCATTATTTTTATTAATTTGTTTGCTACACATTTTCTATAGATATAACATAAAAAACATCATAGTAAATTATTTTGGTCATAATAATCACTGCTAACTTTCTATGAAGCCAGAAAGATTAATAGTGATAGTAGTCTTATGGGTTTTACACATTTACTCTGTGTTATATTCTTTAGTATTGCATATCAGCAGCTTTAGACGGCAGTGGGAAACAACATGATTTCCTCTTAAGTCAGCGAACTGCTTAATCTTTGCAACCAATTACTTTGCATTTATTTTTGCAATCCAAGGAAAAAAATTGCCTATGGATATGATAACTAAATTAAAAAGCCCGATAACAATATCATTTGAAAGAAAAGGGGGAATCCGACATGTTGCTGCCAGCCTGCGTGTGTTGTGTTGTTACATTCAGCGTCTATCATAAATCTCCTCGGTTGTGTAGCTTAAACGACCCATGACAGCATTTAAAGTGACTTTACCTCCACCATGTGAACTATTCCCAGGTGAGGATCTTCAGGTGAGGAGTACTCTCGCTCCATGAACACCACGGTCATCTGGTTACCCTGTAAAGGAAAGAAAACTGTGATAAGTGTGTGTGCAGTTATGTAACAGACAATGTGTGTGTTCTGTTTCTGCAGGTTTCAACAAGTGCCTCCGAAGACTTTTCAAAACAACAAAGAGCGACATTAAATACTCATTTGAGTTTGTGGTCATACTGGCAGAAGTAAGACTAAACATAGTTCCTAGAAATTCTTCAAGTAGATACATTTATTGACATGTTAAAACAATACTTTAGTAAAATAAAGAAACAGCAGTAACAGCAATGTATAGGGGTCAGACCAATGAAAACCAGCGGCAATTTTACAAGATGGTGGAAATCCTTGATATCTGTGCCCATATGCATCATGCGTGTGTATGTATGCGTGTGTATGTGTATGTGTGTGTGTGTGTGTGTGTGTGTGTGTGTGTGTATGTGTGTGTTATACCTTGAGAATGATGTCAGGCCTGGAGGCTTCAGCAGGCAGAGACAGCACGTCTCCTCTCATGGTCTGAGTGTGCAGACGGTACCTCAGATAACCTCCGTAAGATGAGACCTGGAGAAACAAGGTAGTTTTAGGAGAAATAAAGGGTTAAAAAACAAACAAAAAGGGGGGAAGGAGTAAAGCTTGAAAGCATTAAAGACAGGAAAAGTAGACAGACTGCATCTTGATGACAACAACAATGGATTACATTCAGACTTTACAGTCAAACAGAAACAGGATCTTAGGCCTGTGAAAGATAACACGCATTTCTTTCCATAGCGTTCATGCAGGTTTTAGCATGGCTGGCATTTGAAGCTGGTTCGTGGAGCGTAACAGGGGATTTAAATCAGACCATCAGCCCGCAGATTGATGCTGGCTGGATCTCACATGAAAGCTGTCGGTTTAAACGTCTAGACGAAACGCTGATCTGTATCCAAACACCTCGCTGGAGCCTCTGCACCGTCATGTAGGATCATTGTTTGTGTTTATAGGTGTGACCAGGTTGTGTCTCCCATTTCTTTTATCAGTGCATTCATCGGAGGTAACGTACACTTCTCTATATTCAACTATATTTTTGTATACAAAGATGCAATCGTTGGCCTGGATTAATTTTCTCATCGAACTCTTTTCTGAGAAGCACGTATTAAATGTTTTATTGTTTTCATATTGGTATTGAAATGCATCATCGCCGAGCTTTGTAAGTGTTGTGAATTGTGTTTTTTTCTTGATGAGACATTTTAGCATCTACAAGAAACATCCTAATCCAACCCTACATAAAGTAAAACCACTTCCTTTACGCATTTGTTTAAAACAAATAATTATCCTCCAATGATGCAAAAAAAACTCTTGCTTTAGTAAACCAGAAATGATTTATTTGATGTGGACTTATATTTGCAAACTTGCATCAAGTTGCCTCTTTGGGGACAGTATATTATTTATACTACCCAAGCCCTCCTGAGGTGGTCTTTCCCCTCTCACCTTGTCCCCCAGGTAAGTCTTTGGTGCGTGCCAGTGCAGGTCCTGGTAGACGTCGGGCACATCGCTGAGGTCGGCCTCCACAAGGTCCTGACCCGGATACACTACGACCGGTACTTCCTGTTTGTCTGCTCCAAGCAACACCCAGCCGTCCATGTTCATCACCTGCAGGAGGGAGACCATGGTGAACGATCAAACAGCAAAGAAACCAACAAGAGAGCAGTGTAAACATTAGTTCACAAGATGTTGAGAGAAAAAATAAATGTGTTGTTTATGTAAAATCTGGCACATTTTTTAATTGACCTTTACTAAAGAAAAACTTTGGAGACAGAAATGTTACTCAGCAAACAAGTGAGTTAAATGTCAGAATAATGATCATAACGTTTGATAATAAACCTGAAATGTTTAATTTACCAACTAAACAAAAAATGTGCTTGTACTGTATGTGTAGGATCTGTGTTTTTTCTAATTCTAGTAAGAACATAATCATCTGTAGTGACATTAATAAAGTTTGAGTAACAGTTACCTCGGTGCGTCTCTTCTCAGAGCTGCGGCAGCGGTCCGTGGCTCCGAAGCAGAAGCAGCTGGTGCAGCCCTTGGGGTTGGTTGGGTCCAAGTGGAACGTACCAATTCTGCACTGATCGCATCGGGAGCCCTGGACGTTCTCCTACAGGTGGAGGACACAGAGCAGGTTAGGGACCACTGGGATTACTGGAAGTGTGTGTGTGTTTGTGTGTGTGTGTGTGTGTGTGTGTGTGCTGCTCCACCTTGCAGAGACACTGTCCTGTGAAGTAGTCGCACACTTCCTCTTCAGTTCCTGCATCGTTGCAGTCACATAGCCTGCATTTGGGGTAACCATAGAAACCAGGAGAGCAGCGGTCACACTGACGGCCGACGACGTTGTCCTTACATCTGGAAAATATAATGAATGCAAGTATAATGAATGTTTGAGAACTAGTAAGTATATGTGTCTAAATAAAGCTACACTTTTGACTTTTATGTGCTTAAAAGTATTTCATTCTGCGAGAGACGAAAGGTTTATCGCTCCTGATTATCCATCATGAATGACTGATTACTCATAAACATTTGGGCTTGTTAAGATACTCTCGCAGCCAACGAGGTGCATGCATATCTGTCTGTGTTGATACCAAGGTGCCAGGATCTGAAGGGATGGAAGGCTTCAGGCAGAGAAATACCTTCAGCTTTACATCCAGGACTTGTGCAAACAAAGCTGACACATTCCTGTTTGTGTGTGTGTGTGTGTGTGTGTGTGTGTGTGTGTGTGTGTGTGTGTGTGTGTGTGTGTGTGTGTGTGTGTGTGTGTGTGTGTTTTTAATGGTCTAATGATAGTGATTTCAGAAGTCATGAAGGCGTACTCTCCATAAAACAATGTATATAATTATGTTCCTCTCAGATCATGCAGTATATCACTTAAAGGGGACCTATCATGCAAAATGCACTTTTGTACGTCTTTTATACATGAATATGTGTCCCCGGTGTTCCAGGGAACTCACCAAGTGTCAGAAAACACAACCCTCTCTATTTTCCTCCATACCTAAATCTCTAAAAAAGGGGCTGCAACGGATCTGATAAAAACTAATCCAGATTTGAACACTGTCCTGACGTCAGGACAGTGGCGCTACGGCTATTGGGCCAACTCCACCAATCAGGAGGAGACAGCCACGGCCATTGCCGTTCTAAAGCGCTGGAGACGCTGTAGTACATATGCCAGGCCTGTAGGTGGTGCTGTTCTCACTGAATCTGCCCTTGCAACTAAAGAGCTAAAAAATGTCAAATTGAGCAAAATGAGGCATGGCTAAAATGCATGATCTGTTTGGTATTTTGAAAAAAAAAAAGTATAAATATGCCTTATATAGGTATGGTCCTACACTATATTATTCAAATATAGCATGATAGGTCCACTTTAAGCTAGTCTCTGCCAAACCAAATAACCAAATAAGAACATTCTTAAAACAATTATCATAACTGACCCTGGCGAGGTATGAATCTCATCTCTAAACTCCTAGTAGGTCCTGACTATTCCTTTGAATTTCAGTGTTCAGTGTATCCCCGTTTCCAGTAGGGCTGCACATTCAACTTGACATTTTTTCGACATTACAAAAAGGGCAAGTGCAATGTCCAAATCCCAAGAAGCACAATATTTGTTAAAGGCTAGACGTGTAAAAATACCATAAACTATTGTGGAGTTGCAGAGATATCCCGGCCTACAAATTGTATTCTACATACCTAACAAAACATATTCTTTTGGTACAAATCCTCTTCAAATATATTTCCCAATGATAGTAAGGATAATGATGCAACATGATCAATCGTGAATCAAGTCCCAATTGTGAAATAAGTCAAGATAATCGCATTAGTTATTTTTTCCAAATCGTGCATTCTCACGGTATGTTTTTCTAGTGTGATCATTAGAGGCAAAAACACAGTGCAGTGAGCAATGTGTTCGTTTAATCAGGTGTGTGAAGAGTTCACGTTGAAGTCTGAAGGAGAACTCTCTGTTGATCCTTGTCAGAACTACGATGGACTATATTGTGCGATACTGATCGATGTGAGATGGCTTTGCAAATACAACAAGAAGCTGCTGACAGACATATGGAGCCCATCACCATATGAAGACTGAAGGAGGAACACAGATAGATAAGGAGGAGGACAGACTTGTTGGCAGTCCTCTGGAGAGCAACGTTTTAAAACCTGCAGAACACAGACAAGAGTTGGCAAGTAGAGCTGGCCAAACACAACCCAGAGAGGCAGTCAGAGCCAAGATCCTGTCAGGGGAGACAACAGGGGGGAAATAACTGCCTTTTTAGGTATTTCCAAACCCAGGCCTGACATTGGAGAGTTGAATTTGCTAAACCCCAAAGCAAATGAAAACTCAGAGGTAATTACAAGAAATGAAATTGCTCAAATCATGGAGATGGAAAATCTGTCTGCTTTTGATTAAGGCCCATAAACGGCTCATTCTTGAAGCATTACCGGTGTTCCTGAGGCAATAGTGATACGATCTCCGCTTTAATTATTTCCTCTGTGTCCATTCGTCGTACCTGCACTGTCCGCTGAGGGTGTCACAGCTCACATCGGGCGTCTCGACCCCGGGCCGGGAGCAGTTGCAGACCTCACACCCCACCACGGGGTGGCAGCCGAACGACTGGGGCTCACACTGAGTGCATTCTGGGAGCACCGTCCTCGGAGGGCAGATACAGTCGCCGGTCACCGGTTCACACAACCTCGTCCCACAGTTACAGGCTGGAGGAAAGACGAGAAGCGATACGGTTAGATACAGGAAAGAGTAAATCCATCGTAAGAGAAATACAGTCCTTTGTTGTTCGCTTTAACACACAGACAGGCAGAAGAAAGGAAACACAAATAAATCCACTTTCATTTGACTTGAAAGTAAAAGCTTTCCATATAAACATACTGCAGCCACAACACATGGATTAAACACCAACTCTTGCCACCATGAAATGTTATATTTTACTGTATGTTATTTATGACTGGCCTACAAGTTAAATGTCTGCTGTAAAATATTATAAAATGTTATGGACACTCACGTCTGCAGTTGGGGAATCCCCAGTAGCCCGTGGCGCACATGGAGCAGTCTCGGCCAATCACGCTGGGCCTGCAGTGGCACTGACCGCCGAACTGCTCGCAGGAGTCGCTCTCCGCTCCGACCTCGTGGCAGGCGCAGGGCAGAGCTCCGTTATTGAAGAAGGCGGAGAGAGAGACCGCCGAGCCGAGGCAGAACAGAGAGGCGGTGGTAGGACTGGAGTGTGGGTGGGGGGGGGGGGAGAAGAGTCCATCATTCACATGTTGAAAAAAGCTTTCACATGTTTGACAATAAGTGAATGAAAACATAGAAACACTAAGATTACCAGTGTAGTCTTTCTACTAAACATGGCATATTCAGTTCATTGCAAAAGTCCTCTCCTGGTAACATACTTGATATAGAAGCTGTTTTGGCCACAGTTGCTGATGAAGTCGTAGGATTTATCCAGAGGTTCCTCGTTCAGGTAGCTGGAGCTGTAGCTCGTCTCAGGGACAACCAGCACATAATCCTGCAGAGGGGAGTGAAACATTGACATGGATTCTATATCAAAGCTGTACGAAGTTAATATAAACAAAATGACATAAGAAAATAACTTTGGGAACAGAAGGAAAAGAAAATGAAAGGCAGTAATACTGACCAGCCAGAGCGTCTTGCCGGCAGGTATCTGCACGGTGATGAAGACCTCGTGGTCCGTCACATCCAGAATGATCTGGTTCTCAGAGACCAGGACGTTACGGCAGCCGTAAGCGTGCGGACAGAAGGAGGCGTTGGCGTGGCCTGATGCATATGGGAAAACACATGAGAACTGGGTCAATCTTTATGAAATATATTTGTTATATTCATTTATTATTATTTATTATTTGATATATACGCAGCGTCGACCAACACTCAGTCTGTGTGCTCTCACCCTGCCAGATTCTTCCACCGTTGATGTAGACCTGCACGGCGTAGTTAGGGTGCAGGGGCTGGTGGTAGTGGAGGATGAAGACGTAACGCCCCAGAGCATGGACACGGGTGGAGTACACAGCTGCATTCTGGGTAAGGGGATGAGGCAGGAAGTAATGACGAAGAGAAACATGGGGGGGTTTAGATGTCAGACAGATCTATAACTCAGGTTTTTTTAACCTATTTTAATGAATGAATCTCACTCAGGCACTCTAACAGGTTTTAATTTAAGGTATAAATCATATTTGATAAGTTCCCTTTGTTGTGTTTCTGGCACTAAACCAGTTTGGTTCAACGTCATCCCATAAAGTTTGAGATATTGGGGAGTTAAAAACACTTCATTTCTTATTACTGTAACTGAAGCTCTGCAGGGATTTACTCCTGGATTTGCTTTGAGCTGGATTTTCTCTTCTTGTGGTGTCCATAGCAGATAAGAACACCTCAGGAAACGGTTGAATGCTTTTATCAGTCCAGATTGTAGTTGTCCAAAGTCCATTTTATTATTTTAATCTTTCTAAGCAGGAGGACCTGCTGGCTATGAGACATTAACATCTGTTTCCTTAGACCCATAAACCTTTGCATGTTGAGGTGATTTCCTACAATTGGCTCGATTTCATCTACTCTCGTAATCTGAAGCAAAACGGTAATTCTAGAAGAGTTTCACTTTCAGGTGTCTGAGAGCAGCTGTTCCAGGTGAACCTCTTTTCAACAGCTAAATATGTATTTGGATAGCTTATATAGAAGCATCACTATCTATTGAAGCAATACCAAATCCTAAGTGTTGCAGTAAAACATTTAACAGCTCTAAACATGACCACTGGGAACATGCTCTTCCAAGAGATAATAATAATAATAATTAAAATGTGTTTAATAACATCAGCGTCATACCTGCAGTGAGTCCAGCCTGACGTGGTCGCTGTTATCCGCTCCGTGTGGAGGTCTGTCTCCTCCCGTCCAGAGGGAGGCGTCGCTCTGGTGGTCGGAAAGCGGGGGGGCGGCTGCAGGAGAGGCCAGGATGGGCTCCTGCATGGAGGAGCTCTGGCCCTCCTTCAGCACCAGAGAGTCTGACGGGGTCTGGAAGCGTGAAGGGACGCAGGAGGAGCTGCAGAAACGGAGGAGAGGTAGATGGGTAAGTTCATTTCTTAGTTTATGTGTTGATATTTAAAAAGGAGTTACAGTGTTATATGTTACCTGTCAGGTGAGAACTGTCCATGAGTGCTGATGCAGTGGACTTTAGGTTCAACGTACTCCATGGTGAACTGATCTTTAGGCACCAGGTACACTTTGTGCTGAAGAGAGCAAAGAAACAGGTTTTTAGCATTATTATGCACAAGATCTGTGTTAAATTATATACAAATATATTACAAATATTCTGATGATTTGACATTCAAAATACAAACATACATAATTTGTTTGAAGAGATTACTGGAGCAATAGTTTAAATGTTAACTTTTCAACACTATTTGACATTTTATCTGAATAAAAAGGTTCACTTTAAATTTAAATTATTGATTTAAAGAAACATTTAATTTCTCTACAATTGTAGCCATTACCATCTGTTTTTCTGAACGACTTGTGACAGACACATGTAATTAAAAATGAAATTGAATCCATTCAAACTCTACAGTTTAGACCGTTTTTGTGGCAATTAAGTATTTCAACATGTGGTGACATTGAGGTTGTTGGAAAATGTGAAAATGTTTTGTTTATTCCAAATTATTTTGATGGGAGTGAACTGTACACATATGTTCTATTTCCAAACCCTAACATCTTGAACTTATTGAATGCTCTTAACCATCTTAGGACAGAAAATCCTTCCATGTTTACAACAAATCTTTAGAAAGCTCATCACGTGACTGCTGCTCTTGATCATGTGACTCACCAGGAAGAAGCTGGCGCGGTCGGAGATCAGCTGGATCTCTGCGTTCTCGGGGAGAGAGAAGACGGCCACTCTGTTCTGCCCATCGATGGCCACGGCTCGACACAGGAAGCTGCACAAACACACACACACTCATTAAGAGCTGTTGACACACTTCATAGAGCTCATAGGGTAACAGTAAACTGTGAAGCAGCTGAGTCCACACGCTACTGTAAAAACACACAAACCCTTCACGAACAAACACAGTGTCCTCTCTCTAATTGACTTCCTTTCACCAGTTTTTGCATCAAACTCATCACTGTCTAATGTGAAAATGACAGGGGTTTAAAATTATGCTTGAAGCTGGCAACAGCCTTTTTTATTATAGAATTGGACAGTTCTTGCTTATACAATGATTGTAATAAAGTATGACTGTGTTCAGTTAGTGTTTTCAATGTTTTCACGTGAAAGACTATGTCAAAAAATAATTTCTGCATATTTTGTATAATTGTGGTTTTTTTGGAAAACCATTTGATTTCATACATTACAATACTTCAACCATACAAAACCTGCAGAAGAATAAAAACCACCTTGTTGAAGCTAAAGGGTATTCAAATGAGGAAATGAGATTTATGAGATTTATTTTTGTTCCGTCTTCTTCAGATCTTTGCATTTATTCGAGAGCTCTGTATAAAATGAAAGATCGGCGTCATCTAGGTGTTGTTCTATACAGAAAAGTAATATGTTTTTTTGCAACGTGTTTGTTTTATATGTCCTGTTTCGTATGAACAATCTCAGATGTACTGTTGACCTGTTGATGTTTAAATAAAAACAAAGAGGCAAACTAAGCAATGACTCTGAGAAGAGACGTGTTGCTCACCTGTACTTGCAGTGCAGCAGGTTGACGCGGTGCTCGTGTGTTCGTGATCCCGGCATGTTCACAGCAACGGCGAGAGTTTGTGGCAGCTCTTCCTCGCTGGAATATTCCACGACCAGAGCGTAATCCCCTGCAGACGGGAGGCGACCTCTCAGCTCAACGCTGATCTGCAGCAGAAATGAAAGAAGAAAAAAAAAGTGATTGAAACTCTGCTCATAATACAGTTTGGAGAGGTGAGAATAAAGCTAACAGTTGTTGGATTTAAATCAATACAAATGCTAAACAATCAATTCCCTCTCTTACATCGAAGCCGCTGCACACGGCCATATCGGGGTGGCGCAGGGTCACCCTCTCCGTCGGGCAGGGGCGCGGCAGGTGGTTGTCGTTGCGGCAGCTTGCATCGTTACCAGCGATGGAGGGGAAGGAGTCCAGAGACAGATATCTGTACTGCAGACAGCTAGACAGAGACAGAAAGAGCAACAGACAGGTACATTAGAGGTGGTGTGAATATTCTTCGGTTAAGAGGAGAATGTTTCCAGCAAGAAATCCTTATATGTGGATCTGTCCATGACTAAAGAAAGACATGGTTATAGTCAGTCATGATATTGATATATGATATATTCTTCAGGATTGTTTGCTACTTTCAAGTAAGAAATCTGGATCTGCATATGTACTTCTGATTGGCTTCAGGCACTGCGCTGTAGCTGCAGGGCTCAGAGACTTTGATCTGCAGGATGGGAGCTTCGTAGTAGGCACTGGGAAGCAGCACCAGGTAATCCTGCAGGTGAAACAGAACAAGAGTTATTTCGGTAAATTATCAACGAACACAAAACAGAGTAAAAGCCTACATTCATCTACTTGTAATGACATGTTTACGTCTATTCTAGTTATTATCTCGACAAAATAGGTTATAATGCATCAGCTTTTAGTGTTTGGAAAAAAAAACAAATGTGTAATGCGTCTGTATCTGTATCTGTGTGTGTGTGTGTGTGTGTGTGTGTGTGTGTGTGTGTGTGTGTGTGTGTGTGTGTGTGTGTGTGTGTGTGTGTGTGTGAGTGTGTGTGCGTGTGCGTGTGTGTGCGTGCGTGCGCGTGTGTGTGTGTCTCACCAGCAGGATTCCCTCCGCCTCTATAACCACGGTCCAGGTTCCCGGGTTCAGGACGAACGGCTCCACAAAGTTGTTCTGGGGAACGTTTACAAAAGTGGGGTCCACACTAGGAGCAAAGACGATCTGTTTGGACTGCTCTGAACCTACAAAGAATTCAAAGTTAAAAACCCAAAAATAGAATTAGGATATTACCTCAAACACATTTGAGTGAAATACATTTGAAAATTGGAAAATACTCAATAACAATATGAATAACAACAGTAAAAACATGTTTTAGAGCAAAACAAATGTCATTAATGTGTAATAAATATACAAAAAAAGCAACTGTAGTGTCAACAGGAGCCAGAAGCTATGAAGTGCGGTTCATTTTGGTTTAAGATTTACAGTGCTTCAAACAAAACACTGACAGACTCATATAACTGAATCTACAATTACAAATGAAAGATTCTTAGCGCTATGTTTAAAATGAAATGTTCCCATTGTTTACATTTGAACCGACATTCACAAACACTCACACTCTCTTTTGATTGGTGGACACCTACCTCTGCGGTTGACCTGATAGGCTGTTATTTTACCGTTGGAGGTGGCGCCCTCAGAGTTTACATATCTGAGGATGAAGCGAGTCAGATAGACGTCAGCCTCATTCACATAAACCTGAAGCTTCACTGCAGTCTACAGGACGGGTCGGGTGGGAGAAAGGGAAGTGTTGGGGGGGGGGGGGGGGGGGGGGGGTAGAGGGTGTGAATACTTTTAGTCTAAAAATCCCTGAACTGATCTGTGGCCCTAAAGGTTAGAGGAGATTGAGCAGAGGCCGCCAACCAACTGCAGTTGCAAACCACCAACCATCACACACATCCCTCCATCATCTCACACACAGACAGGAACACAGAGAGAAAGGAGGAAGCAGATTTACCCAGGAATTAAGCACATGTTTCAATAGAAGTCATTCAATTGTCTTTTTCTGCGTTTGGAAGTCCAGGTCAGAAGAATTTGAGAACCAGACGCACTTAAGATTGTCTTTGCATAGTAACAAATGTCCACTATGCATTTACATTACATCTCATTTAGACATTGCCTTTATCCAAAGTAATTCCTAATAAGTGCTATAAACCTTGAGGATAGAAATAGCAGGAACCTGTACTGTAGTTTTACTGATAAGCCAAATCTTTTAAAGTAATACTGAAGTGGGAAGTGTTTATTTTATTTTAATGGCCAAGGTGCGGCCAAAACAGTTTGGCTTTTATTTTGCAACGGAAAATGTGTGGACTTTCTGGCTGTGCTGATATTCATGAGGAGCTTCTTATCTAAATGTTTACCATTCTGAAACCAATATATTTAAGTGTAGCTAAACTTCCTGGCTGTTTTATACACAGAAAAAGTTTTATTATCAATTTGAATTATTATGTTTCCATGGGTTGATGATTCCCAGTGGGAATTCTGATGTACAAAATCTGAATTCATGAGTTATTTCTGTGGAGCATGGCTGATATCCTGGGCAAAGCGTGGAAATCAAGAGCACACAGACAGAGAGACAGAGCAGACGATGTTTACTGCACTGCCTCTGTAGTGAGGTGTGGAGGGAATGAGAAGAGACAGAAGAAGTTCCTCTTCTCTCTCTTCCTGTTCCCATGCAGGAATACGTGACTGAGGGCCAGACAGAGTAGGGGCCCTCGCAGCACTCACAGTTACCACAGTAGTAGCTCCAAGTGTCCTCAATGACCGACACCCGGCCCAGAACATCTGCACCCCCCCTGTTGGCGTAGCGCAGCACCACGTGGAAGAGGTCTGGAGAGCTGACCGACACCGAAACCAACACCTTGGACTGCCGAAGGACCAACGAGCAAGGCAGCAGGGGAAAGGGGGGAAGGTAGGGGCGAAGAGGAAGAGAATGATAAGGTTTAGGAAAGAGGAAAGGGGTAAAGTCAGAATGTAAGGAGAGAAGGGGGTAAGGAAGAAATGTGTTAAGTGTAAGGAGGCGAGATGGTGAATAAAGGGGGTATAAGGAAGTGGGAAGAGAGGAGAGGAAGATGATGGAGGGGGAAGAAATTGAGAGGAAGTTGAGGAAGGACGACAGAAAGTGAAGTAGATTTAATGAGTGAAATAGCAATAGGAGAGTAGGTGGAGTGAGAGAGGATTAAAGAGGTGAACAAAGGTAAGATGGGGGAGAACATGAAGGAGGGAGGGAGCAGAATTTGGGAAACACCGAGAGAAAGAGAGAAACCAAACCAAAAGCAATACTTTAAAACCAGCACCTTCACCACCAATTATATTTCTCTTTGGATTTTCACTTCTTCAGCTCAAACACCCAAGAGCTCAGAATGAGTTTACCTCTAAATATATTATTCTTCAAGATTCACTTCATGCTTTGAAAGATTCTTGAAATGTCAGACTGTAAAAAACACATTTGAACATATATTCTCTATGTATAAGACTTAGACTATGCACTGAGAAGTGATTCTACCAAAGAGAAATATGCCTTCAACATGTATCCATGGAACAAGCTGTTTATCTCGTGCAGGAGGAGCATCAATGACAGGCCACCGTCACAAAAAGATGTAATGCATAATACAAACATAAATCATATAAAAACATATTAAAATACATTTCATATGTATGCAAGTTGTTTAAATATTAGATAACTGTATCATTACAAGAATGATGATGATCTGTAATTATAACTGAGTATCTAAAGTCTATAAAGTGGAGTTTATAAAAGTAAAAGCTGTTTGTCTATTGTTAATATAAAGATAAGATAAGACTTTATTCATCCCAAAGGAAATTGTTGTGCCAGAGTTACAAAAATACAATAAACACAGCAGCACAATAATAATACAACTGTACGCTAACAGTGCAGTAAAAAGAGCAATTCAATAACGGTGCCAGATGTTGTAACTTGTTCCTACCTGGATGGGCGACATCTGGGCGTAACCTCTCCAGCTGAAGCCGGTGAACTCCAGAGGATTGTAGCCAAACCTCACCGGTCTGCCGTCCAGCATGGTGCCCTCCTCAATCTCAAACTTCAGATGATGGAGGTCGGGGAAGTAATGATCCGGACGAGGTCTGCAGACATAGCAAGAGCCATTGACATGGAAGGAAAAGCTCATGTAGAAACAAGGTCTGGATGCTCTTTCATATTAAGTTATGGTCTGGGGAACAGAGATCTAAAAACAGGGTTCATACAATTTTTCACCAATAATTTTCCAATAAACTTCTCCTTCATGACCTTTACCTAATTTTCCATGACCAAAAAGATTACTCTTTCTCAGCGGTACCACTGAAAATGGTTTATTTTAACATGGAACAGGAAAATAAGGTCTGAAACATGTCGTGCATATCTAAAACAAATCAAATAGTAGGCTTACTAGCTTCTACACGCTAAAGCAACTCAAATCTCTCACCAGCAAAATACCTCGTCAGTTAAATGCCATTTTACGTTTCATTACTATACGATACAGTATTTATTATCATTATAGTATTACTATTTCGGCGATTAGATCAAATATAAATTATATCTGATGCAATTTTTGTTACATTTCCATGACTTTTCCAAAACTCTGGGAAAAATATTGTTTTCCATAACTTTTCCAGGGCCTGGAATTTTCATTTTGAATTTGAATGACTTTTCCAGGTTTTTAATGACCGTAAGAACCCTGTAAAAAGAAAATGTAAGACCTCAGCCATTCTTAGTTTGAGATGCACACAAAAGTTAAAGCGCCTTAATTCCCTGCCTTTTTCCATTTGTATTTTGATGTCTTAATAAATTCCCATTGTATTTCACAGTATGGACTTTCTGCATCACAAATGACTAATATAAGGATAGGGGAAGGATGAAAAATAAGAAAAATATATAGACTATTTTGAGATTCATTATTAACACCATTTTAGTGAAAAATGGGAAAAAACAATTTAACCTTATATCACGAAAATAAATGTAACAACTATATATCGATATCATTTATTTAGCTGCTGTTGTACTCACAGATTACACTTGGGTCCCTCCACGTTGGGTCTGCAGCGACAGCGTCCGTTCCTCTCTCCACACGACTGACCTGCTGAACCTCCAATGTCACACTGGCAACCTAAAAAACATCACACACAAATGTAATACAGGATGGAAGCATCAACGTAGTCCAGCTTTCTTTTATGAGAAAAAAACGATTACAAAGAGTTATTAAAACTGCTAAGGAGCACTGACCCTGGCAGCCGAAGTAGTTTTGTTCCTGCAGGTTGTAGTATCCGTCTTTACAGGTGGAGCAGGTTCCACTGCAGGCGTTTGGCTTACAGTGACACTGACCAGACCCCTGTTAGCAACAAGAAACACTTACTATAAAAACAAAAACATGTGTGACCATCATTCTGTCTAATTATCTTTCATACAAAGACATTATGACTTTATGACCTATGTTATACGAGGTATTTAAAGTGGCAGCAGACACATGTCTTGCTTTAACTCTTGAATCACAATGAATGAAATGTTGATTACACAATGTAATGACTGTAGAATAAAACATGTGTTGCTGGTAGTAGGGTTTGAGAAAAACAATAAAGCTGGCCCTTTAGAGAGCGGCACCAACCCTAATACTGTACCTCTTGAAAAAAGCTAAAGGGGTGGAAGTGAGACGTTATCATTGCCACTTCAATCATCAATTTGAAGCTTGTGCATGTGCTTAATGCATCATAGTACATAACCTTTCCAGGAGGGGAAACTTTGACTCAAATGTTCAATTCAGAGGAGGAACTACAGTTGAAAATGCTCACCTGTGCACACTCTGCCACACCGCTGATCGTCCCGGCAACGTTACACTCACAGTCTGCAGGAGACAGCAAATACAGACTTTAGTTTACATATGATCTCCAGTTATTGCAATCCAGCTAGTGAAACATAGGGTAGGGTGTGGTGTATGTGTTGCTAGTGTCTCTTACTGGTGCATCCATCAGAAGTGTCGGGGGAGAGGTTCCAGTACAGAGGTTTACATGTGTCGCAGGCCGGGCCCTCCACATGGCGCCGGCACTCACACTGGCCCACTGGAGGCGGCACCACGTACTGAACAGAGCCGGCAGGGTGGCAGGTACCAGCTGTTCATGACGAAGGAAGAAAACAAATATTGTTTCAAAGTAGATCTGAACAATCCGTGAAGTGGCAGAAAGCATCTATTAGCAGAATTAATATATGAACATTAGTTTCCACTCACAACATTAGTTTTGCCCCATTTTTTTCTATTGACAAAGTGTCATTGCAATTTACGATTATTTCTGCTTCCATGAGCAGTTTTGTCCTCGCTTGTAACCATAGCATTTTCTCTAAAACGCATGTGTGTGTGTGTGTGTGCATTTGTGTGTAAGTGGTCAGCTGTAGGTCCCATTAACTGCAGCTGTCACACCTTGTTTCCATTATGTTAGGCCGACACTTGGTCGTGTTTAACCTGTGTGTGTTGTTATTACCTTGGCAGTTGGGGAAGCCGTAGGCGCCGTTTGCACAGCTGTCACACCTCAGCCCCGCCACGTTGGGCACACACACACACTGTCCCGTCAGCTGGTCACAGCTGGTGTAGCGAGAGCCCTGAGCAGAACACTGGCAGGCTGGACACACAAGATCAGATTTTATTATTCATATTAAAAGATACATATGGATTAATGTATCCAGTAAGGATCTTATAAAAGCTTCAAAAGAAGTCTGGTAATCATACATGCTTCACAAACTATACAAAGTCTAGTTTTTTCTATTATTGTGTCCAACTGTATAGACACATAGCAAGGTTTCAACACCTTCTTGAACATCAAATTCAAGGACTTTTAAAAAGATTTCCAGGCCCAATTCCTTCCAAAATGGCGCAGTTGATAGATGTGATTGAGACAGCAGAAAGTAACCTATTTAGTATAGTTGAGTGGATACAATATAATACATTTTTTAGAGAATTAATACATTTTCTTGCTGAAACTGTATAAAAAAGACTTTCAATGACCCGTCTCTTTATATTTTATGTATTATTTATTATGCATGTACATTATTTGTCCATCTGATCATACACTTAGCACAGGTGAAATGATTCTACATTATAATTGGACAGAAACAATGAAGGAGTTTGAGGCTTGTTGAAAAGTTTGGTGACTTACGTGTGCAGCTTGGGAAACCATAGTAACCAGGAGCGCACTGGTCACATGACGCTCCGCTGTAATTGGGCTGGCAGTGGCAGTGCCCTGATGCTGTACAGCTGCTGTCCAATGAGGTGCGAGGATCACAGCTGCACACTGAGAAAACCAGAGGTGTGACATCTTGTTACAGAAAACATAATAACTAGTACATTTGCAGTCAAATCAAGGATAAAAAGTTTGTTAAGGAAAAAACTAAATGCAAGACAATCTATACATCTATATTACTTCCATTCAGTTAATTATAAACAGTTTTGTCATTTAAACAGTTACAATAAGTAATGGAGAATAATGCGTTTAGTCACCATAGTCCAGGGATGTTCGGTATCTTTTCACTATAACTGTATTATTATAGCTTTTTACATATTGTCCATTTCTCTTGCTTGATTTTTCTTTTTCACTGAAAAGGTTGAACCCTAATAAAACCTCATAAAATGTCCCAAGGCAATATAACACTTCATAAGAAGGTGCGTTAAGTTAAGTGTTACCATGTGCGTCTCCATGTGCGATCACTCCGACGGATATTATATTCTCTCGTTTTTATTACAGTATGCAGCAGTAACAGGTGCATTTAATCACCTTTAGGTTTCTCTCTGTGTGTGTGTGTGTGTGTGTGTGTGTGTGTGTGTGTGTGTGTGTGTGTGTGTGTGTGTGTGTGTGTGTGTGTGTGTGTGTCTGTCTACCTTGACAGTTGGGGTAGGAGTGGAATCCAGATCTGCACTGTTCACATCGAGGACCCTGAAACTCTGGTTTACAGAGACAACGACCCGACGCATCGCAGCCTTCAGGCAGAGAGCCGACCGAACTGCAGGCACAAACTGCAGAGACAGAGAGAAAGAGTTTGTTATTCAGATGGAAATATATTTGAGTTGTGCACAGTGGCGGCTCCAGAGTGTTTTTGTTTGGTAATCTATGGTAGGGCTAACCCATACAGTGGTGGGGCTCAAGTCAGTATTTGCAATGTAATTACATACACGCTATATCGCCCCCCTTGACAGTGAAACGCCACGCGTGAGGTTTAGATTATTTCCCTGTCTCAATCCAAATTGAACTGTATGAAATAAAAAGGCACATTTGTCTTGTAGTAAATAAAAAGGGCGACCTGGAGCCAATCCTGCAATTTCCCCACAGGTGAAAGAGTTGACATGCTGAAAACCCAACCCCTGCAGGGGGGTCTGGGGCGATTCTCCCCCAGGAGATTTTTTGCAATACTAACATAAAATACACATTCTGGTACTCTCTTGAGAAGAAAAATAAATAAATCTATTACTACACATTTAAAAAAATGAATGCCATTTTAGTTTTTTGTTACTTTGTTCTGAAAGCTGAAGCTGCTGCTCCTCACAGAGAGAAGAGGGAAGAGGCTGTGTGAATTACTTTACATTGTGGATAAGGGTGGATAGCCCCCATTGTTCTGTGTGTCAAAATGAAAGACAGCCCACACACCTATCAATCATCAAACCGTGGGGTCTTATTTCATTACGTGTTGATTTCTATCAACACGTAATGTTGTATGATGTAAGAGAATGTAATGATGTATAGAGATGTACTACAGCAAAAGTATTCTCCGTCGGGACTTCCTGCAACAACACCACGCCGTTATCGTGATTCTGATTGGCCAGAAGACATTATCAAAGATGTTTTATTGAGAAGACGATCACTACGTGACAAAAGTTTTCAAAACCGCTTCTAGCCTTCGGTATTTCCAGACAAGTAGCTACTGAAATCAATCTTGCTGCTATCTGTGCAATTTACTCGGCGCGAGTTGGCGGACTTTATTTTGCTTACTTTAACATCATTTTTCATGGTGGGGCTGAGGTGGGGCTAAGCCATTTCTTGGTATGGCTGTAGCCTACCCCAGCCATACCCTGGCGCCGCCACTGGTTGTGCACCAAGCAATCACACATTTTTTCTAAGACTAATTTTAGGCTGGCACGCATCTTGCCCTAGGAACTTGGCAACTTGATAAAGAGCCACTATATTTGGATACTTGGGATGGGCTGTTTTCACTTTGAATGTTGTGTTTCAAACCGCAAGCAACCAATATATTTATTGATATTTATTGTACCTTTAATCTAACTTTTTTTTTTCATCAAACATAAGCATTCTCTAAAAAAACTAAACAAACCCTGGATTTTATAATAAAAAAGGAAGAACATCAAAATAAATGCTGAATGTACATCTACTCCCGTTGAACATAAATATTATTGTGTTGACGTTGTAGTACAGTGTAGCTTCAGATGACTCACATTGGCAGAGCGGGTAGTTGTTGTAGCCTGGCGCACACTGGTCGCACTGGTAACCTTGGAAACCGCTCCGGCACACGCTGTGACCGGTAACAAAGTCACATGACCCGTCCTGACATCCGGGACCTGAACACTGACAGGCTACACACACACACACACACACACACACACACACACACACACACACACACACACACACACACACACACACACACACACCACACACACACACACACACACACACACACACACACACACACACCACACACACACACACACACACACACACACCACACACACACACACACACACACACACACACACACACACACACACACACACACACACACACACACACACACACACACACACACACACACACACACACACACACACACACACACACACACACACACACACACACACACACACACACACACACACACACAACCAATTATAGTAGAATAAATAACTTTAATATTTTGTATTATTCAGAGTTGACAGTCTCCACTGACTGAAGGAAAGGTGTACATCTGTTTAACAAAGCTTAGCGGAATGCTGTTTATTCAGGAGTGTGTGTGTGTGTGTGTGTGTGTGTGTGTGTGTGTGTGTGTGTGTGTGTGTGTGTGTGTGTGTGCTCCTGGGTGGTAAACTGGAACAGGATAAATAAACAAGCTGATAAATAAAGCGTCTAGAATTCCTTCTTCTGTTTGTGTATTTGTATTTGTGTCTGTTTGTGCATGTTAGCAGAACAAATGGGCCCAAAACCATTCAACTGAAGTGCGGCGGTCTAAAATAAATAGAATATTTAGGGGTAGTGGACTGTTGGTTGGACAAAACCACAACATATGAGGCATCACCTTGTAGTTCACAATATTTGTCAGTGTTTTCTCACGTTTTATAAACCAAAGGATTAATAATTAATTAAATATCGGGCAGAGTCATTACCATAATCATTGGTTGCAGCCCTTTTATATTGTATATGCATGTAGCCCTCCCTCACCCTGACAGTTGAGTCCGTGGAAACCAGGAGCGCAGGTGTCGCAGTGGTCTCCAGTGAAACCCGGCTTACAGACGCAGGTCCGAGTGCGGGGGTCCGGCCGGCAGGAGTTATCCACGGTGCCGGCTGCACTGCACTCACAGTCTGCACACAGGGGAGAAACATGTCCGTTAGCAGTGTTGATCTTGTAAATAAAGTTATTTATCTTTTGATTAACAGGAGACAACAGAGCTTAAAGGTCCCTTATTATACTGTTTTTCATCAATATATTATAGGTTTCAGATATATACAAAACATGTCTCTGAAGTGTTTGGCTCCAAACACCAAACAGATCGTTGCAGCATCCCACAATCCCCTCTGTTTCAGCCCTGTTTCAAAAGTGCTGATTCTCTGTCTGTTACTTTAGATGAAAATAAGGAGCCCCTCCCCACGCCCCTCTGAGAGATATTTGGTTAAAAAGAACACAATGGTGCTCTAGGAGGAGATTCAGGTGATAAGGTGGGGGGGGGGGGTTACCTTGGTTGGTGATTGGCTAATGGTTACACAAGCCAAAACATCGTAATGACATCATAAAGTGGCCAAAATCTGATCAGCTCATTTTCAGACAGGTTTTTATATAAATGGATCAGGACAAAAAGTGAGCGAATATTTTTTTCCTGAAACTTTCAGAATCTCTTTACACAGAGGGGACACATGTTGATGTATAAAAGACATGAAAAAGTGGATTTTGCATAATAGGTGACCTTTAAGTCAGTTACTCTCTATGATGAAAATGAATTATATTTCTTACAAACTAACACTCCCTATCACAAACAGGCTGATATGAGCTGAGGCTCAGCAGGTGGGGAGGTCGAGACTGAACACTGTTTGGGGTTTTACAGCTTATCACATTCCTCTGAAATTCCATTCACACCACAATGACTTTCCCAAAACTCCCCCAAACATCTGACTCGAACCAAAAACATCAACAGCCTAACTAAGGAGAGGAAAACATAAGAAAACACTGATACAGTTTGAGAGAATGAGTCAAGGTCAGTTTGTTGCTTAATTTTTACAACAGTAGGACTAACCATCTTTACATATTTCCCCTCTGAACATATTTTCTCTGAATTGAACTCATAAAGTTCTCGTTTATTTAATAATGATTCTGAAATGCTTTGTATTCCAAGACACTAAAGCAGAACAAAAGATGAAATGAAAGTCTTACTGATGATCTCTCCTGCTGGTTTGGCCTCGCCGTTGTTGTTGTTGGTCGGATAAGTGGGAATAGCTGAAGGACAGAGAAAGAGAATCATACTCAGAAATCCTCCATTTTTCCCACAGCGGGAAGATATACATTGTATCAGCAAACAGTTCAGATAAATGGCAAAATAAAATGAGTTGACTTACATTTTGAAGAAAGAGGCAAGCATGCGTTAATAAAAGAAAAAGAAATTATTATTATCCCCAGTAAAACATAAGAAGCAGCATTGTAAAAGTAAGTTACAACATGAGGGAGAGGGAGATTAGAAAACAGGGAAATAAACTAAAAGTAGTTAGTAGTAGTAGTTTCTTTTGAATGTTTAGCTGTTATTATCATTATCTACCCAAGACATGTATTTCAATGTCTTGTTTAGTCTCTTTGGATATGAAATCCCAAAGCTCAGACGGTGTTTGAGGCGTTTCTGTTGCTGCGACTCACGGTAACAGTCGGGGAAGTTCATGAAGCCGCCGGCGCAGGAGTCGCAGTTCTCTCCGCTGTAGTTTGGTTTGCAGAAGCAGCGACCGGTCAGATCCTCACAGGTACCGTCTGTAAACTCTGACTGACACTCACAGCCTGCAGAGAGGCAGGCGGAGGAAGAGGAAGAAGGAGGACGATGAGGAAGAGACGTTAAAGCCGATATTATATAACATTAAGAATAAATCAGCAAGCAAATTACTGAGGGAAACATCTAAGAAGTCAAGGCCCTAATGACTAATAAAGAGCCACAATGGTGTATGCACGCTTATAAACAGTTACCTTATTATAACTGTTACAACATATAGGTACTATTATATATAACAGTACTTTTGATATGTTCAGTACATCTTGTTATTACTTCTGCACATTTACTAGTAAGATTTTAAATGTGAAAGATCTGAGTTCTTCTTCCACCAATAGCACTGAATTCATAGTCAACCCAAAAGAGAAAAAACGAAAAACGTTCATTTTAGTGTTGAATATATTATATCAGCATTTGAATAATTTCTGACGGACTCACGTGAGCAGGCCAATGGGGAGTCGATGGATTGGTCAGGTGACCTGTAGAAGGTGGGGATGCAGCGCTCACAGTTCACTCCGGTGGTGTGATGCTGAAAAGAGAAGAGTTGCCATTACAAGTTGCATCATGACTTTTATCAGCAACCAAAACTTACTTGAAGAGAAGCAACATAATATAATACACAGAAATGATGACATTTATCAGATTTTTCCACACTTTTAGAGACTGTTATTTACCTGGCAGTTGAGGCAGACGCCCCCCCCTCGGTTGTGTCCGTGCATGTCGATGCTGGCTCTCCTCTGATCCACCTCGGGGTCGTAGTAACAGTCGAAGGAGTGACGGTGACAGTTACACGCTGAAACACAGACAAATACAAAATAACACATTTAGAAAGCAGGCAATGGAAAATGACAGTTTTGAATAATGGAAATATTAATAATCCTTTTAACTGCAGTTTTATTTTACAGATAAAACAATTAAAACACAGATGTATGATATTAATAATGATACAACTAAAAAAGTGTTAAGCTCCAGAAAGCTAGTGAGCCAAGTCAGTTATCTTCTTGTATCAAAGTGATTAAATGCACCATTTAATGTTAACTTAAAGTGGACCTATCATGCTATATTTGAATAATATAGTGTAGGACCATACCTATATAAGGCATATTTATACTTTTTTTTTTCAAAATACCAAACAGATCATGCATTTTAGCCATGCCTCCTTTTGCTCAATTTGACAATTTCTAGCTCTGTTTTTGCAACGGCAGATTCAGTGAGAACAGCACCATCTACAGGCCTGGCATATGTACTACAGCGTCTCCAGCGCTTTCGAACGGCAATGGCCGTGGCTGTCTCCTCCTGATTGGTGGAGTTGGCCCAATAGCCGTAGCGCCACTGTCCTGACGTCAGGACAGTGTTCAAATCTGGATCAGTTTTGATCAGATCCGTTGCAGCCCCTTTTTTAGAGATTTGGGTATGGAGGAAAATAGAGAGGGTTGTGTTTTCTGACACTTGGTGAGTTCCCTGGAACACCGGGGACACATATTCATGTATAAAAGACGTACAAAAGTGCATTTTGCATGATAGGTCCCCTTTAATTAAAAGAAATCTTAAACTGCATATAATCTATTATTTTGTATTGATTATTCTTTAATAACTATCCGCAGAATTATAATGTATTTATTAAAAACATTAATAAATATTATTTTAATCGTATTATTATTATTATTATAGGGAGGCAGTTAAAAAAACTAAGTAAGAATGATAAATTCTTGTTTCAAATATAATGGTCAGAGAAACTATGAAACATATTGTAAATGTCATGGGACCTAATTTACTAAACAGTATGCTACTTCATATATCTCTTCACAAGCAGGTGAATGGAAAGAAAACAGGCACACACGTTGCACAAATGCTCACAAACACACATAACGTATTTGTAACAGTGTTAGTGTTCACCTGAAGGGTTAAAACTCCTGCAGAGAGACAAGAAGCAGGAGAGGAGAGAATACAAAGGACGAGAGGAAACAGGAGAAGGTAAAACACAAAGCAGTATATGAACGCTTAGTCACCTAAAAGGAACAGTTGTACATCCTTAGAGTTAGGACATGGACATGCAACGCTTGATCATGTTTTATTCAATATTCCAGCCACAGAAATGCTTCATTACTTCTTCAGTGACAAGTGTATGTTACATCAAACAAACTCATTTCATCTCAGTGCTCTATGAAGTCTCTTTGTTGTGTTGAAAGCTGTTTCCTCTGACAGGTGTTCATTAGGAATGAGAGAGTACACACTCTGCTGGGGATCATATTTAGTCTCCAAACAAATTAAGCAGAGAGAAATGAGAGAAGCTGTAATTATCTCAACCAGACGCAGGCTTAATCATTTCCTACAGAACATTTTGATGAAGGTTAGTCATCAGGCTGTTTGTAGATTGAAGTAGATATAAGGTTGGGGATATTTTATGAATCATAAAAGGGTTATTTCATGTCTGATTACAGTCAGTGATCAAAGACTGCTGCAATCTCTTTTAGGGATGATTACGTTACACTGTTTGTAGTTTTTTGCAGAATCTTTCAAGAAAAAGACACAACCAAAGCTGAATTGTTTGATTTTAACATACGCAAGGTAAAATAGCTGTGCATTTAAATGTTTCTAGTTCTTAATTGAAACGTTTCTTCACTATGGAGACAACCAGAAAAGGACTTGTGTTGGTGCTTGAGTAACTGATTCCTTTGATTATGTGACTAAAAGGAAGCAGATGTGTAACGCCGGCACACACTTGACCTCGCCATTGAACATGTACACATCCAGTAAAGAGATTACATACGTCCTTTGACTTAATCTGAGATAAAGTGAGCTGAATGCTTAAGATGTACGCATGCATGAAATGCAGAGCAGCGTTTACTCTTCATACAGAGTCTGTGACACCCTGATAGAGCTTTTTGTTCTTATCTGACCCTCAGCGCCTGAGAGGTGCCGGCTTTATAAACCAGCGCTCCTTATCCTCCGTCTCTGATATCACGTTGCCCTTTGGTGACCTTATTGCCATTGTGCTACTCATGTCGTTCCTTGTTAAATATAACTGCAGCTTTGATAACAGTCTGCTCTCACATGTAAATATAACCAGAGTTTTGATAAGGACAGAAGGCAGCAGAACGCAGTCAGAGGATGTTTTAAGGCATGATCAAAGCTTTTAGCTGATTATCTTGATGAAATGCTTCAAAGGAGGTGATCATAAAGCCAATCAGAAATGTCTATGACTTTAAGAAAAGATAGTTGAGCTAGTACTAAATTATTCCGCACAAATCCTGAGTCAAATTGTGTGTTTTTAAGATTTCAAATGCAAGTGTAAATGTACGTGATTCCCAGCTGATTGTACATTAAACTGTGGGGAATCTTTACTCTCGCGACCAAAAGATGAAACTCTGCACATTGTCAATCATAAGGCATAGTTTTGCGTCACGCCATTTTATAAATCAGTGTCCAGGAGAATATTTTTAAAACGTGTGCAGGATGTCCTGAGCTGCAGTAGTGATGCTTCTCTCTGACCAATCAGTGGTCACCAGAATTGTTACTCTATAGTCTAGTATCAGATCAGCTTGTTTGACATCTTGACCAAGGTGGTGCAGAAAAAGAACAAGGTAGTATCTACAACTTTAGCAAATCGAAAATCAAATAAGTGCAGTGGAAATGTGGCGTGAGCAGAAACGGATCTTCTTCTTCTTGTAAATATGTTGAGCATATTCAGGAATTTTCTAGAGACACTGTTCAGATGTGTGAACATATAACAAAAGCAAACAGCAGCACATGTGTCTGTTCAGCTTCATTAACATAGGGCTACTCTTTTTGTTGAACCAACACATTCCTCTGCAGGATCACAGTTTAAAGTGTGTGTGTGTGTGTGTGTGTGTGTGTGTGTGTGTGTGTGTGTGTGTGTGTGTGAGTGCATAAGAGTTGGCACAAGTTCTCCCATGTAAGCTTAAGTGTGTTTGTAAGTCGGCGCGCACTGTGTCAGGTACTACTACTCACGTTCACACTCGTTAGCCTTGTACGTGTTGGCCAGTTTCCATGGTAACTGGTGGTATCCGGGGCAACACTGGCCACAAGACAAGCCGCATGTGTTGTGCTGACAATCACACTGTAACCTGTAAACAGCATGAGTAAAGAAAACAAAATATTAAGTTTGAACCTTTTAATCCATATTTTCAAACTTCACACACACACACACACTGGCTGGTATGTACCCATCTCAGCCCATTGTGCTTTGGGTAAAACATCGCTTGAACTTTTCTCCAAAGTTCACATTCCTGCTACTGTCACTTCAAAAAGAAAGAAAGAAAGAGAGAAGGAGTGTGACAGAGTCAAAAGGAAACAGAAAAGTGGAAGTAGCCCCCCCCAACAATGAAGGAGTTCATCTTTCTCCTTCATCGACAGCGGCTGACTGCTTCACCCCGGTTTTTAATCGGATTAGAGTGTAAACCCACGGCATGCCGAGTGTGGCCACAACACAGCAGGGCGAGAGGGAAAACCTTTAAAAGCCATTCTCTCGTCGACGAGTCCCTTTAACCAAGGAGAGACAAACACAGAGGACTCCAGTTGGGAGTCTAAGATAATAACTAACACATGTGATTCCTGTGGTTTGAGTTTAATTCCAATACTTTCCAACAATTAAATAAAGTTATATCTTTTATGGAAAAAGCAAAGTATGTCTCTTTCCTGAAACATGAAAACACACACTTTTGCCAACCTTCAGTTTTACTTCAGGTTGATTTAAAAAACATGGCATCTGTTTTGTAAATCATCATGTGAATGAACTGAAGTAAGAGATAAAGCAAACGGTGGCGAAACTGTGCTACTATCACTTGTTAAAGTAGTACTCATGTTTATTTCATTCATTTATTTGGTTGATATTACTTTATTTAACTATTGAGGTGTCGACAGACTTTGTGTAAAAGTCATTTGAATGTCTTTATGGAGCGTGTGGGTGTGTTTTGCTTTCTGCTCTGAGCTGATAACGTGTGTGTGTGTATTGTGTTTCAACAGGCTCATTGTGTTTCCAGCTTTCACCTTTACCATCAGATCCCTCCATTCAGTCTCTCTCTCTCTCTCAGTTTAATTCACACGCTCACTCGTACACCCCCCTCCCTCCCTCTCGCTCTCCATCCTTCTTTCCTTTCCTCCCTGGCGAGCGCTTCTGTTCAAGCGTTTTAGGAAATGACTTTCAATGAACGGTTTCCACCCGTATTCACTACTTCCTGGTATCCCTCGTTGGATATGGACCAGCAGCTTCCTGACGCAACACAGTCAACTTAGTCGTTAAGTTAGGAGGGATGTTCAGCTGAATTTCACTTTCAATGTACACTGAAACTGTACTTTGAACACTTCAATTATATTATTAACATTTTAAACTGTATACCCCGGTTATCTAAGCCCTTTGTTGTGTTTAATGTATACCATGTTTATCTAGGCCCTGTTTGTTTTTTGTTTGATGTATATATGTCACACTGTAGGACTGCGGGAAACGATATTTCGAGATTTCTGGATGTACAACATGTAGAATTCTTGACAATAAAGCTGACTTTTGACTTTGACTTTGATCTGAAATCTAGAACATGACAAAGTTTACGTTTGCACAAGAACACAGATATCTAAATGGTTTGCACAGAGTACATCTACCTCCAGAGAAGTTTAACAAAGGAACCACGGTTATGAAGATGTGTGTGATTTGGTTGTCACTTTTGTATTTCCAATGTTTCTACTTACTGCAGTTCAGTGACTGTCTTTCATGCTGCTTTCTGAAACCATTTGAAAAGGTAGTCTTTCACTTTTTTCCAGCTCAACAAACACTGTATGTTTTTATTCCCCTTAAAGGCTGTGTTTACGGCACTTCCCATTTCATATTCCTTCCTACTGTACATGACCAAAATGTTAAGTTCTGCGTTCAAAGTGCAACATTTTAATCAACAGGTGCTTTTTGTGAATGTTTTGTCCACTGATATTTTATTACAAGAAAAGCAATGGCTTTTTTGGGCAATTCTACTAGTTTTGAGCTGCCCTCTCATGCCTGTCTTATGAGAAAAGATCAAACACAGAACATGTTTTCTTCTCAAAAGTAAGTCAAAAAAATAATACCAAAAAATATACATTTGATGTGAGAATGTGTTATTGTGAATTATACAGGTTTTTTTCTTTGCTTACATGTTTTACTACATCAATTATCAAGGTAAAATTAAGAGCAGTAATTCACCCTGAGCAGGATTGTCTCTTAATGCATAAGGCACTCAGTGTTTCGTGGCCTTTAAACAAAAAACTGCTGAGTTTCTCCCGGTCTTGATAACATCAGCAGCTACAGGTCGAACCTTTAAACAGACCTCCAGTCAGCGTGTATAACACACCTGTTGGATATAAGGACGTTAAACAAAGCATTGATTATAGTTTTCAGATCTGCATTCTTTCGCTCTGACACAAACCAGACTGAGCATCTCCAACAGCTTGATGAGGTCAGGAGGGATTTATTTGAATTCCTCCTGCCGTGTTCCCATCAAACACCTGCCTGAAACAAGTGCAGATACACTCTAGGGATACGTGTGAAACCTTTTGATACAAATATAAACCACATTGCAACAGGATATCAAATGTGACTGTTTCAAATACTAGAATTCCCCTGGACTTATATTTTCCCAACTACAATTGTTTAAATGCCAGTAACAAAGCAGAGCGAATGTTTGAAGAGTTTGAAATGAATCATGTCTCACTGATTGCTCTTCCCATAAAAGTTCATCTTTTTAATATGGTTAAAATATCCAAAGAGTCACACACTAAACACTTCTCTGGAAGATCAGTCCATTCTGTGGGAAACAGCTGTATCCAAAGGTCAAATCTCTGATGAAGCTGCAGCACAGTGTTGGCTTTCAGTTCAATTGGTCCAGATCGTAGCCGATTGGCTCTGAAGACGAGAAAGTGGTTGATTTTTGAAAGTCTATTCGCATCCTCTGTTCTTTCTTAACTTTTTTTTCTTGTACAATTTCTACTCTATGGAAGCCTTTTGTGGAATTTATAGATTAATGTTTTGTTTGTTTTGTTTGCTAACACAGAAGAGAATGAAACTATATTAAAGTGAATTAGTCATCTTCCTCTGCAGGTCCTTCCTCTTTATGTTCAGTTATTATCCCAACACGCAACGGAAGAGCCTGTTTTCTTATGACACACACACACACACACACACACACACACACACACACACACACACACACACACACACACACACACACACACACACACACACACACACACACACACACACACACACACACACACCACACACACACACACACACACACACACACACACACACACACACACACACACACACACACACACACACACACACACACACACACACACACACACACACACACACACACACACACACACACACACACACACACACACACACACACACACACACACACACCACACACACACACACACACACACACACACACACACACACACACACACACACACACACACACACACACACACACACACACACACACTGCTAATGATTAACCCAGATGTAGCCTCACCTCCTCGAGCTGTGATCCTGAACTGGAGGTGATGCAGCAAAGTGAAACCAAATGGAGCAGAACAGGAGAATCTATGTGGACAAACGTATACCATAGACATAGACTGTATGTATATACCGAGCAGCCAGCTGGCAACAACATGCTCCACCATCATGTCTGCACTTCAGCCTCATTAGACATGAAGTGTGTTTTACCTAATTATTATCCTCTTTTATGTAGGAAAACCACTTATTCCAAATGTATTATAATTACTAAAGGGTACATTTATCATGAGCTGACATGGTTATGACATATATAATGTGTGTTATTTATCCAGGTGGATCCAGATGAGAAAAAAATAATTGTTGGAGCGGATCCAAATCACGGGGCATACACAAACAATATTTTTCAGTAACGGAAACAAGTGCCCTGTAATGGTTTCCCTATGTTTAGTTTGCAGCTGAACCTTCTCAAACCTGATTGTTGCATTGTACAAAGTAATCTTCTGCAAAGAGTACCATAAGGAATTACACCTTTTAGCTAGTACAGTAAATGCAGGCCGTGCTAAACATAATGTTTAAAACCTCTGGTTACATTTTCAGTTAAACCTCAACATTATTAAAGAGGCGCTATTATGTCTTTGGGGTTTTCCGTTTCCTGTCGTGTGTTAGGTTTTTGTGCATGTAAATGGTCTGCAAAGGCTAAAATCCCAAAGTTCCCTCCAGAGGGAGTTTCTCATATACAGTAATTACAGCTACAGGGGATTAAGATTGTAGCCAATATACTCGCAAGAGTGTTTTATTACCATTATCTCCTGAAATCTCTCATCTTGTATAAAGGGAGTGAAGCAGAAATGACCCTCGCTCAGGAGGTTCTGTATATGTAGGTTACTGTACGTGAGCCTGCAGACACTCTCTGTTCAACTGCCATACATTATCATGGCAGTATAAACACTCACTCCATGTAAATAAATCCCTCCAGAGACAGAAAGATAATCAAGCTTACAAATTGTAGGAAATCTGAACGACAAAACAAAGCCATTAAATCACCTCAGTGTATTTAAGGCATGTTTAAATTACACATAATTGTGTTTTGGAAGAAATGTTAGATGGTTGTATAACTAGCTCAGCATGTCAGCACCAGTTCAGTGGCTTTAACATAAAACAACTAAGCTTTCAAAGCCTGGAAAGATTAGATTTGACTAAACTGTCAACAGTATGTATTCAAGTTGAAATAAATATGTAAATAGAGAACAGAAAGCAAATACAACAGTCTGAACAAAAACAGATTTATTTTTAATAATTTCAATCTGCCTTTAGTTCAAAAACTTGTTCCACGTGTAGGGGAGAAAGTCTCCTGGATAAGCGTGTGAAGAGGTGTGTGCACGCGATCAGATATGTGAACGTATACACACACGTATTCTTACAGTAACTATTGGGGCCCCACCAAGATATTACAAACACCCATCATACACACACACTACATCTGTCTACCACCAACACTGACAGACACGCAGAGGAGGTTAAGTTTAATTTCAACAGCTTTCGTTTAAACACACACCTGACGGAGTGTGTGAGGCTGAACTCTGCTCAGTGTCTACAGATACAGGCTCAAACACAGATATGACATTCTGAGAATTATTGCATTCCCTGCTTATAGTGTAACAGAAGATCCTAAAGTCTAGCCTGAGGAACTTTCCACTAGAGTATCTAAACACCAAACCAATAAAAACGCATTTGGCCCATACAAAGTGAGAAGGTTTTCCCAACAAAAACGAACAAAAGTATAGGCTAATACAAATACATCCTTCTCAATCATCACTTACAGTATGACCCACGAGAACCCTATGATAAGGCAGCGATCAGGGTCCAGATTGTAAGCACAATCAAAGAGAAAACTATGAAAATGTTGGGCACAGCAAAGAAAAAACACCAGCAAATATAGGACGGCAGCGCCACATTTGAATGTGGTGAGAAATCCTACTAATTGTGCTCGTATAAAAGTTAGCGCTGAGCTTCAGGCTGCAATGTTCAAAACAACAGATAACGCCAGAAATCTAGGTGTAGTCATGGACTCTGACCTGAGTTTCAACAGTCACATTAAAACAATTACTAAATCAGCCTACTATCATCTTAAGAATATATCGAGGATTAAAAGACTAATGTCACAGCAGGATTTGGAAAAACTTGTCCATGCTTTTATCTTCAGTAGACTCGACTACTGTCATGGTGTCTTTACAGGTCTCACTAAAAAATCTATCTATACCTCACTAACACTAAGAAAGTGGATCACATCACTCCAGTTCTGAAGTCTTTACACTGGCTTCCTGTCTGTCAAATAATTGATTTCAAAATACTGCTGCTGGTTTATAAAGCTTTGAATGGTTTAGGCCCAAAATACATGTCTGACCTACTGCTAAATTATGAACCATCCAGAACCCTCAGGTCTTCAGGGACTGGTCAGCTTTCTGTCCCCAGAGTCAGAACTAAACATGGAGAAGCAGCGTTCAGTTATTATGCTCCAAATATCTGGAACAAACTCCCAGAAACCTGCAGGTCCGCTGCAACTCTGACTACTTTTAAATCAAGGCTGAAGACTTTTCTTTTTGCCGCTGCTTTTAATTGAACTATTCATATCTTAAACTGCACTGTAACTTTTATCCATGTATGTTGTCTTTTAATGTTTATTTTATTATCTTTGCTTTTTAATGACTGTTTTTAAATGCCATTTTCTTAATGTCTTTCATGTTTGTAAAGCACTTTGAATTGCCTTGTGTTGAAAGGTGCTATATAAATAAACTTGCCTTGCCTCTTAATATGTATATTACTAACTGTGTCACTTTAGCAAATCTATCGTAAATCGAGGTCATGAACATTTTTAAGAGTGGTCTCAGAATGTCTGTATGATTAGTCCATTTTTATATGTTACTAACATATTGTCATGTGGAGATCATGCCCCTAGTTTAACAACTGCTGATTTAGAGTAGAACCATCGATCTAAATAAAGCCACCTGTCTCTGTATCTACTGTTCAACAAATGACTGCTATCTCCTGCAGAATGTCGGGGTCACAGTGCGAACGCCTCCCAGCAGAGGTATATTTGTCTCCACTGTACATCAAAATATGTGACACTCCCTCCACTCCTCCCCCGCCTCCCTTCCCTCCCACTAAAATCCCTGCCTTGCTCACAAATTCCAAAATCACTCATGTGCACCAACAGAGACAGACCTACACCAGCAGCTTCATGAGAGACTGTCTGCAGATACCTTAGACAAGTCTGTACAAGTGTGTGTGTGTTAATGCATCATTTGCATGTGTGTAAAAGAGATAAACGGGTGATGTTTAACAGAACTGTACATCTGTGTGTGTGTGTGTGTGTGTGTGTGTGTGTGTGTGTGTGTGCGTGTGTGTGTGTGTGTGTGCGTGTGTGTGTGTGTGTGTGTGTGTGTAATTGACATATAGGATATTTGACAGTGACGACAGTTTATAGAAAGATTCCATACAGCCTGCAGCTAGCTTTACACTCACACACACTTGCACAAACCTTCTAATACTCGTGCAATACAAACACATTGGCCCATATAATTAAATGAATCACAGACTGCCCACTTCCACTTCTCATGAGACACCTACACTTATCTGGAAACTCTCTCAGAGTCTACAGTATATCCACATGCATTAAAACAGGCTGCGTCTTGTTGTTGTGCTTCAACAATAAAAACTAAAGAAAGGACAGGAGCTTTATTTATATGGAAGTGGTAATCAGAATACTTCCTTCAAATACTTCCTCTCCACCTGTTTCACTCCCATTAAAAAACAAACATGTTTTCCAGCACTTCCAATTGTCTGCATGATCATGAGAATCTTCGCTTGGACCTGATGATGTTTCAGAGTTGTTCCTTAACAAAACAGTATGAGATGAAAATGTATGTTGTTTGCCCCCCCCAGGGAAATAGATGTGGAACAGTCTTGAAAAGTCAGGAGTTGCATGAAGCCCAAATTTGAGTCTTGGTTTAATCTGTGTTAGCAAAAGATGTGTGTTTATTTGAAAGGTCTTGCTGATTATTGCATCTACTTTATAATTTGTTTCCCTGATTGTATAGTCAAGTTTTAAACTCAGCGGTTTCTTGTGTTGTGACAAATCTCACTTCTTATTTGCTTTACAGATGAGCAGGTATGTTTTCCTGATGAACACAGAGTGCACCGGCACAGAATGGAAGCACAGCCAAGACTAATATAATCCCTTGCTTTAGATCAGAGCCAGAGCTCAGGGATATGATTTTTGCAACATGCATTTTGCAGCACTGAGTGTGTTAAAACATGTGTCTGTGTGTGTGTGTGTGTGTGTGTGTGTGTGTGTGTGTGTGTGTGTGTGTGTGTGTGTGTGTGTGTGTGTGTGTGTGTGTGTGTGTGTGTGCACAGCATGTGTGTGTTGGAGCAAGTTGAAGCGTCTGAGTCATTGTAACATGCACCACACACACACACACTTGGACCCCGGCTCCATGGGAACGCATACGGCAAAACGCATCGGAGTAACGCAAACGCAACCGCATAAAACCTTCCGCCCACACGCAATATACACCGGATTGTGTCAAGCTCCACGAGACGGCTCCGTTTACATCCAACCGCTGGAAAAGCTGCAGTACATATGCCGAACCTGTACGTGGCGCTGTAACTTCCTCCACAAAAGCAGCAACTTCCTCCACAAAAGCAGCGAAGAAGAATGGTTGTCATGGCTGCACTTCTGTTTATTCTCCGCGGTGGGGGCCGAGGGATCCGGGCAGAGTTTTTCGCCGGTCAACGTGTGTTAAAGTTTAAATCTTCCGGACAAAATTATAAAAGTGCCGGTCAAAGGTCTTCTTTGTTATTTATTGAGCTTTAAAACAAATGAATAACGACTCTATATAATGATATATAATAATAACATACACGGAGGCTGTCTCTTTTTCCTCTCTTCTGACAGCGTCAGTGTCTGTCTCATGCAGCAGCTGATCCTGTAATGATGACTCGACAGTAAAAATAAACATATTTATAACTAGTTTAGGTAGTTTGAGAGGTAATTAAAATAGCTAAGGGTGATGATCTGACTTGAAGTGTGTGTTTTGCTCCCGCTGCATCACAGCGGGAGGAGCTGCGTGTCTCCGTCCTCAGATTAGACTTCACTCGCGTTTATGTCCATATCGAGAGAAAGATAAATAATCTGAATTCAGTGTGCAGTGTACTTTTGCGGGGGTGAGCAGCAGAGGCGGGGGGAGGCGGGGCTATTGCGTCGTCATTATCAGAAACGGATGACCGTATAGGCGACCACACGGCCCCGTTGGACCCCCCAGAGCGCTCCGTTCCCAGATCTATCCACCTTTGGACCCGTTGTCGTTTGCAGGGTCTGTTTCTACGTTTCCGTTACGGCGTCGTCGAGCTTAAAGGGCTATACGCATGAGAAATATGCGGATTCAACCCGTTTTTGTTCCCGTGGAGCCTAGGCCTTGATCTACAAAATCCAGTCAAAACAGTTGGTTTGACACAAGCCTGTGAGTCATAACAGTGCAGTCTGATTCCCTCATGTGTGTGTGTGTGTGCATTACTATCCTTGTGGGGACCTACATCTGTTTACACAGTCACGTGTGGGGACTCGCCTCCCTTATGGGGACATAATGGAGGGAATCATTAATTTTAGGGTGAAGACTTGGTTAGGGTAAGGGTTAGGCATGTGTTGGTTATGGTTAAGGTTAGGATAAGTCTCCAGGAAATGCATGTAAGTCAATGTAATGTCCCCTGAAGTGATGTATACATGGTATGTGTGTGTGTGTGTGTGTGTGTGTGTGTGTGTGTGTGTGTGTGTGTGTGTGTGTGTGTGTGTGTGTGTGTGTGTGTTATTGATCGTTTGAGGGGTGTGTATACATTGCTCTCTTACTTGTAGGGGTCGTTGGGGTCCTTGGCGTTGCAGGACTCAGCGTGTCCGTTACACACACAGCGTCCTCCGATACTGATGTCTTTGATACTGTAGTAATACTGTAAAATCACAACAATACACACAATATTCAGATACACAGTATGAGAAAAAAAAAGTTTATATTCAAGCAAGTTGTCCTTCAGAAATATTTTTTTCCTCAAAATGTTGAACTATTCCTATAAAAAAATGTTACCAGTGCCATTTTTTTTACCTTTTGATCTTAAAAAGTAAGAGGGTATCCAAAAGTTAATTAATTAAGAATTGGTGGTAATGTGCAGGGAGGTAAACAATGCTGGATTTGAACTAAGAAGAACAAAAATGAATGTATTAACAGAAAAACTGTAGTGCCTTTAGGAATAATAGCTAATTAAAAGCTGGAAATACGTTTTATATGTATATAAAATATATACATTTTTGTAATAAAGATGTTTGTATTTGACTCTTTTTGTTGCACGCACCAGGGAATCGTTTCATGTGCATGAGAAGCTGTAAGCAGAAGTGTTTTCTTTTATCAGTAATTTTTTGGAAGAATATGACACCAACATATCAGTCCTAGTGTATCCCATTTCTTTACCCTGCGTGTGACAGTGGGGTCCCGCAGAGCTTTGCCCATCAGGTGTCCCAGTAGCGTGTTGGTCCTCAGGAAGCGCAGCTTGATGTTGGTTGCCTTGGTGAAGTCCCTGAGGACCGGAGAGTAGGAGAAGTTCATGGCCCCAGGCCGACCGTTCACCAAGGACACCACGACCTTGGAGAGGAGAGACTATCAGCTGAGCAACAATGTGGAAATATTAAAGATAACAGCCTGGGAACGTCCCCACAGAGAGGGATGGTATTAACCAAATCCAACATAAAGTATTCACAATATGATACCATGGCAACAAAGTAATCTATGTTAATGATTCTATATTGCATGATCTTACTACAGGATGGTTTTCCTGACTAATACATAAAGTGTTTACATGTTGCTCTGGATCCTCATGCCCTATTTCAGTGTTTTGTTATACAATTTTAGGATGAATATAGAACATTCCAAATCATTTATAATAACCTCTTGTTCAAAATAAAGTTAATATAAAAAAATATGTGTAAAAACTTTGAGAGAAGATGTTTAGGCCACACATGATATGCAAATCATATGCTTAATGTTCAGTGCTGCAACTAACTATTATTATACATGTAAAATGTGTCTTCTAATATATTTGTATCCATCTCATTAATCTACTCGTTTTTTTAATCTATGAAATACCGAAAAATAGTAAACAAAATGTCTATCACTATGTTCCTGTATCGAGTCCAAATCTTTAAGACATTCAGGTCACATAACCTCACATTATTACATTTGAGTAGTTGGAAGTAACTTATTACATTTAGTGTGTGGGAATTTTCCTGTTGATCATCTAATAGATACACAGACACATTTCTTCAGCTCTACAGGTGTGGCGGGGACGTTCAAGCACTTTCACTCAAACACACACTCACCTCTCCATTCTCCAGCGGGACGATACGGGAGTATTCAGTGGTGCAGATCACGTCATTATCATTGCTGATCCTCTCGATGCTCTGCTGGCCAAAACGCTCAATACAGTCTCTCTTTGAGGCTACACACACACACACACACGCACACACACACACACACACACAGAAAGGGGGGAGAAAGAAAAGAGAATCTTCTAATCAGTCTTAACCTCATGTTTGCAAACGTGTGAACATCCCATCATGTTAAAAGTGAGCAGTGTGAACCATCTTGAGGCATTTTAATGATGAGTCTCAGTGTGATAATTAGAGGAGGGTCTCTGTATTTTAGTCCTCACTTAAATATAACCCAGCTGCATGTTCAGCTTCACAACAGCTGGATTGCACCTTCATCACCTTCCACTGAATAAAGTGGAGAATAAATATAGAAACTACAGATTGTATTTGGATTCACTTATTAATCATTTTTAACATAGAAAGAAACCAAATCATAATGTCATGAAATCTGAAAAGAATGACAAAAATATATCCTTTTTTTTTTACGGATATAAAAAAATAGAATCTTCAATTTTGTGAAGCTAAGGAGATAAATGACAAATAATTTACTATCACACATCACACATCCCTAAAACTTTTTTTTTTACTTAAAAAATATCAAAATTGTGGTTGACTCGTTTGCTGTTAATCGTTAGTCCAAATAATTAACATGCCTTTTACATTTTACAATCCGTACTAAAGTTCATTCAAGTTCATGTTATTTCATTTAGGCGCCGTTTACATGAGGAGAAAACTGCTTGTATCTGCATAGTTTCGCGTGCGTATAGCCCTATTATTTACACGAGGCCGATAGAAACTGACCCCACAAACGGGTCCCAAGGTGGATAGATTTGCAAACGAAACGCTCTGGGGGGTCAACCGAGTCTGTGTAATCACCTCTATACGAATATTTCCTGAAAAAATTGCGATAGCCCCACCTCTCCCCACCTCTCCTGCTCACTGCTGTAGCAACTATCAAAAATAGCTGTGTTAATTAAACGCACAAGGGGTTCTTGAATGAAATAATATTATAAAAGGCAAACCAGAATTGTTAACGCCCAATATACTCCTTAAACAAAATAAACAGAGTCAGATTTCATGCATTGATCCATTATATTGACAAAGGAGGATCTCACCCGGTGTTTGTAGAGAATATCTCTCTTTCTGAGAAACATTTACATTTTACATTTAAATCCCGCTCATGCGCAATTCATTTGCCGTCTCGACGCGGGAGAGTGTGGCTGTCTCCTCTCTGCTCTGACTGCAGCTGAGCTGCTGCGGGGTGAGCGCCTGTGAGTACTATGGGAGGGCAGAGGGGCTCACGGCAGCACCCGCGGCTCGTTAACTGCTGAACAATATGTGAGTCTCCAAACACCAGAAAAGTCCCTAATAACACCATTACAAGTCGTTAAATTAGTCGTTAGTCGCTTTTGACAAAAATAAGTAGCCGGAGGGTTTGGAAAGCCGCCGAATTTAACGAGAAAGTCGCCAAGTTGGCAACACTGGAAGGGTAGCCATGGCAACATTGTTGCGCGGCTGCTTCTGGGTCTTCTTCTGCTGCTTTTGGTGTATTTTGGCGGAAGTTACAGCGCCACTTACAGGCACGGCATATGTACTACAGCGTTTCCAGCGGCCTCGTTTGAACAGACACGTTAAATGAAACTAATGCATGTGAACGGAAGACTTTTTTGAATACGCATACTGTGCATAAACGCAAACGGTCCCGTGTGAGCGGGGCCTAAATCTCATCCTATGAACGATGGCTGGTCCATCTTGCTTAAGAGAAGCTTTCCTCGTCCTTTTAGGAATATTCAAACTGTAAAAGTGTGTGTGAGAGTTTGAGACTTCAGCTGGTTTAAGTCACATTGTTTCTTCATGAAATCACAGAGCACATTCCCAGAATCGCTTCACTTTATCTCTGAAGTGTCCTTGACACAGAAGAAGATTTTATAATGTCAAGATCCACCCCTATTGGAGAGTGTGTGTGTGCGTGTGCGTGTGCGTGTGTGTCTGTGTCTGTGTGTGTGTGTGTGTCTGTGTGTGTGTGTCTGCAGTTAACAGCTGCAGCAGTTCAAACTCAAACTGTGAAATAGCTTTTGAGATTTACAGCTTTGAGGCCAACACTAATTTACTCTGAACTGTTTACTGTACACACACACACTGACACACACATTCTGTTGCCTTCCCTCTGGGTGAAATGTAAGTGTTTTATATTTTACTTTGTAAAAAGCGATCTCTACAGTAGGGCTGCGCAATTTATGGGAGGTTAATGAGTCGATCTAACCAAGATATTAAGCAGATTTTCAGATTAAATAAACTTTTCTCAGCAGACAGGAGCGGACCTCCCACTCAGTGTTGTTCTGGCTCCACAGGACTAATTGCCAACTGGCTCCGTAGAATATAGGCGACCAAATGTGATTGGATTTCGGGGGTGCATACTTCAGCAGAAAATTATAAGCAATTTGCGAGTTCAGGTCAGCTGATGGTCGGTGTCTGTCAACGGTTCGTCATAAGCCCGGGAACCATCTTGCAACTTTTTAGAAAGCTTCTGGGACAAGAATGTTTGGCTACCTGGGAAAATTGAACTTAAAAGCAAAATGTAGATCATCTCCTAAAAGGTGGGCTTGCAAAAATGTGAAAAGGTTTACATTTTTGCTTGCAGGATCTTCCATCAAAGCGACCTGAAACTAGTCAATGTCGTGACTGTTGGCTGCAGATATTTGCTTTTTACTTAATGTACAGGCAATTTCCCGATCAACAACAACTCGCAGGCTTCTCAATCTGGTTTGGAAATCATTTAACAATACAGTAGCATGCATGCAGTAATGTATACACCAGAAATCTGTCAACTTAAAAGTGAAGATCACCGACTGTATGCTGAAGAATGTCCAAGTTGTCCTTCAAACTTTGAAGATCTAATTTGTCTGCCATCTGGTACACCTGGAGTAGTTTTTAATAATGCCTATTGATGCCCTCCACACACACACACACACACACACACACACACACACACACACACACACACACACACACACACACACACACACACACACACACACACACACACACACACACACACACACACACACCACACACACACACACACACACACACACACACACACACACACACACACACACACACACACACACACACACACACACACACACACACACACACACACACACACACACACACACACACACACACACACACACTTCTCCCCAGGTGAACATCAAGCCGCGGCCTGTAAGCAGACATGCCTGGAATTCCCCTGCAGCCCACCTGTAGACTGACAGCTGCCTAAGCCAATCAGTGGGCAGCTCTAGGATGTAATGACCACCCCCTCCCCACTATACCCTGACCACCAAACCAACAGACAATCAGCCGCCTGCCCTCGAGGCTGCTGTTTAACTCTGAGATTAGAGGGAGAATTAAGAAGAAGCCTGGGGGGGGGGGGTTAGGTAAGCATGAGGTGATGCTGATGGAATTTGACTCAGTTTGCTCCAAGTGACCAAACATCTGGAGGCACACACGTGTATGTAGAGGAATATATATATATATATATATATATATATATATATATATATGGACTCACAGGCAAAGTACTGCCAGGGTTTGTAGGTCTGCCCGAAGTCCACGGATCTTTCCAGAACCCAGAGGTCGGGGCGGGGAGAGTTTGCAAACTTAATCAACACGTAGGCCACATGGAAGAGCTGCAGGGAGACAGAGAGGAGGACATTCAAGTTAATCACATATTCAAACATGTATGACTTTGTTGAACTTTATCCAGAGAAAGAGAGGAAAAAACTCAGACAAATCCCACACCCAGCTGCAGTACAAATGTATGATGATACGTATGTCGAGTGTCATTAATCAACTGACAACTTCCTCATTTAAAATCTGCATATTATCCCTTTCCTTACTTTCATTTAGTCGATAAAGTGGAATACACGCAGGACACAACTGATCGGTTACAAAGGGAAATACATTTCAGTTAATGAGCATTTAGAGAAACAACGAGTGAAGGAGTGAATATAAATTGTAAAGAGAAAGGAAAGCAAGAAAAGGAAACAAAGGAATAGGGTGAATGAAAGGAAAATATATGAAAATAAAACGGAAGGGAGAGTAAGGAAAGGATAAGACATGAAACAAAAGAAAGACAGTGAAGGACTTGATAAGAAAACATTTAAATGGGAAAAACAGGAAATGAAAGGGATAAATAAAAAGACAGGAAAAGCAAGAATAGGATAGGAAATGAAAGGAAATGAAAGGAAATGAAGGGGAAAGGGAATGCAAATGGTTAAAGTGAGGAGAGAACAACATGAGCTAATCAAAATCAATTGTGGTGAACAAGGTAAAGACTTCCAGCTTCTAATAAACTCAAGTCAGCCGTCACGGTGACCTCAACATTTGACCTGTGTGACTTCTCCCCTCCTGAGTCACGTCAAACACTACAGTACGTCTGATCTGTCGTGTTACATGTACGTTATTATCAAAAAGCTGATTCCTGTCAGTAATGAGCACCAGATGCTGCTCCATCACACTCTCAGGTTTCAGCCTCCTCTCTTCCACTTGTCATCCCTCATTCATTTCCTGAAGCTGCTCAGACGGCGATGACAAACTGCTCTCCTGGGCACGGGGGAGTTCAGCTGCACTGTTTTGTCTGTCGGACCTTGAAATCGCTCCCCAGTTGAAACAGAACACACTGGAATAACACCATGACGCACGTAATAATATTAGAGCTAATCACAATCACCTCCGATTTTTACATCTGCCTGTGTGCGTTGGAGAGTGTTGAGAGCTCAGTTTTGAGTCATTGAGTTTTTATAAATCTGCAAAAACATGGTAATTATTCACGTCTTTCTTGGGTTGTGAAATTGTTTGTCCTGTCTTGATTTAGTATGAGGAAAAATATTCATGATCACATGAGAAGTCATTTTCATCAAAGATGCAACACCTTTTCTACAAAATATATTTAACGTTTTTTTCCAACCGGCAAAAGATTTGTTTTAATACTAATAATAATAACTTGAATTGATATAGCGCCTTTCATGACCTCAAGGTCGCTTTGCAAAGAAACATATAAGGATAAGACGTAAAAACATAAAACAGGGGGCAGAAATGGAAGTGTTACATTGCAGGGGGGGGGGAAGTGAGTTATTGTTGGAAGGCTATGTTGAACAGATGAGTTTTGCTCTGGTTTTGTTCTTTTGACTAAGTCTTTACAAAATGTCATAACTTTATAATTTTTTTTTTTCTTTTTTTTTTTTTTTTTAATTGCCATAATAAGCATCTGAATCCTCGAGTCATGGCCCAACCCGTGCTCCAAGATTTAACAGTGACTTTGACCATTGACCACCAAAATGTAGTCCAATCATTCAAGAAAACATAATCAGTTCATCTTTGTGTGAACATTACCGCCACAATAAGGTTCCTGGAATCTTTCTTTCATGGGAATTGGAAGGATGGGAGGTCACACACCTTGACCTCTAAAGTCTAATCAGTTCATCCACTGTTGACCAAAAAGGTTTTTCTCACATCAGATTAAAACTATGACTTACGACCTCCTTTGGGTCTTTGCCAGGAACTGTTGTTGTTCCCCATTCACCATCTGTCTATCCCCTTATTAACTGTCAAATCTGAAATAAATTGTATATATTGTTCTTAGATAGGGACAATGCAATTTAAAAGAGTTCCAATTCAGAGCATTAAACAAATGTGATGTATTGAGAGTTTAGAGCTGAAGCTATTTTTTGACTTTTGCCTTAAACAACACTTTGAAAAACAAGATGATGTTTTAAAGCTTGGATCACAAAAGGTACAGAAGAGTTTCGTTTTTCAGCTCCACTGCAGGTCATGACATGTTACATACATGACGTGTTTAGATAGCATGACATTTGACCCACACGGAGGATGCAGTGATACATTTCAGGGTATTTCAAAGCCTTTATACCAACAGGGATTTGTTTAGGAATTAGCTTTCTAGGGAGGCATCCTCTGTCTTTTCATTTGATAGTTGACAGCTGTAGAGGGAGGGGGGGTGGTGACATGTACTATGGACATAATGTGGTATTATGGCTTGTAAATACCAAAGGGATACATAAACGGTTCCTAAAGTGTTTTCATGACATCATTAATTGAGCGATTTCAGGCAAAGGTATGTCATTTTGAATTTTGCGCCCAATGATTTTCTCCTTTCAACTAATTTCAGCCTTTTATGTCCTTTTTTGTTTTTATGTGTGTACATATAAAGTCATGAAACAAAAGTTTGAGATTGGTTAACATTAAAATCTCAAATGCACAAGGGTCAGCTACAGGGGACATAATTGGGGAACATTTGAGAGAAAAATGTTTGAATTTGTGGATTTAAAATAAACGTTTCTTACTTTTTTGTTCACGTTACGAGAAGTTCAACTTTGACCCGTTCATTGTCTCACTATAGCAGCACAAACACACACTTTGATGAACCTTAATTCTCCTCTATTCCTCCATCTCATAGGCAGCTCTGTCAGAGGCGATGACATCACACACAACACACTTGCACACACAAATACACAGACCTGCAAAAACTAGTACTAGTCCATTAACAAGGAATGCGTGTGTGTTTCAGGATGATGAATGAGGGGGACATGTCATCGTTTCTCTGTTTACAGAAGAACAAACTCAAGTTCATCAATCCATCTCCATCTCTCCAAACATTCATAATCTATTATTCCAAACACAAGAACCATGGAGAGCTTTGTTAGTGTCATAATATTACAAAACTGTGACTTACAAAACAGCTATTTCCAGCATTATTCAACAAAAAGAGAAGGCACTTTCTATTCAGTCTGCAATTTAAATGATAGAATTTGACATTTGTATTTTATTTCTCTTCTCAGATCGCTTTTGTTCAATAAGTAGAAAGTAGGTATCCAAAAAGTTCTGTCAGCATGTATTCAACAACTCTAAACGAAAAGAAAGCAGTCGGGAGAGACTTGTGTGAGCACTCCGTTATAGAAAACTGTCCATTTTAAGAAAGTTGATTATTCTTCAAACAGAAACAATACTGTGGATCTAAGCCTGTATGTCTTTGTGTATGAAGGAGATCTAAGAGGACAGGAAGCAGAAAGTGATGCCTCGGGGCTAAAGTCATTGAAAGAAAACTCCAGAAGCATTCCTCTGATTCCAGGGTTAAAGTTTGACCAGAGAGCACCTGAGGTTCAGAGGCCATCCTTTGAACCGCAGACGTTTCTAACTGGAAACACACGACTGAACAGGCAGAGAAATCAGGTGAACTTCAGAGCTGCCTGACAACCTTCATCAAGAAGACATGGCCGCTTTTAACAGCCATTATATCATGTTTTATATTTGAGCCACAAGATGGGAAACCTGGTGTTTCAGCAGGTAGCAAAAGCTGAATTGAAAAAATATACGTCCAACTTGCTTTATACAGGATTGGAAAGGTCCACCTTACTTACATTTACACTTGCATGATTGTCCCCAAACATTTTCTTTATCTAATAGTTCAAGGGCCACACGTTTACACCTGGTTTAAAAGTCCTTCTTGCATGCAGGAATGAATAGTCTGATAGCCACCTACAGTAAAACCGGCTAAAACAAGAATGATATGTGACATTGGATGGTGAGCTCTTTTGGGGTGCATTTTGCTTGTTTGGTCCAAAGAAATGTGAAAAAACATATTTAATTTATTTTTCGCAATCATTTTTTAGGTGTTTTATAGATAAACTCAACATTTCTGTGTAAGATTGTGTTAGAAATTAAGTTTCGGCTGGCAAAAATGTAAAGAGATTCCGAAATAAATAATCATAAGCTGAATAAATGAAGTCGAGTTATCGATTAGTCGAACAATAGTCATTTTTAATGCAAAAACCGCAAACCAGAATAAAGTGCAAAATTCAACCGCTCTACTAATCTCTCACTATCAGCGGTCTGTCGCAGGTCACACACACACACACACACACACACACACACACACACACACACACACACACACACACACACACACACACACACACACACACACACACACACACACACACACACACACACACACACACACACACACACACACACACACACACACACACACACACACACACACACACACACACACACACACACACACACACACACACACACACACACACACACACACACACACACACACACACACACACACACACACCACACACACACACACACACACACACACACACACACACACACACACACACACACACACACACACACACACACACACACACACACACACACACACACACACACACACACACACACACACACACACACACACACACACTTAACAAAAGGTTTTGCTGACCCCCTTTTTCTCCAACACACACACACAGCCCTACTCAGGCTTTATGGATTAGTGGCAGCCTCCCTGAATTGCCTGTCAATCCCACCGGTCACACTGTTGTTACCGGGGCAACCTGCAGGCTGCAACAGGTTAAACTAAGGGGAGAGAAACTGATGGAAATATATTCATTAAAGTTGTGACTCACACAGCCCCGTCTTCACATCAAAGACGTCTCTTAAACTACGTTGTCTAATATAAACAGGCAGAGGTGGTACTAAAAGCACACTCAGAAAGCCAACAAAAGACAAGTATTACTTCATGTGACCTCAAAAGGACAGAGCTCAGAACAAATGTCCTTGCAGAGGGCTGGTTGGTAAGCCTGAGGTGGAG